TCTCCACCGCTAGGGGTCCGTTTCCTATCCTGCCTGGCTCAGCAGTGAGAAATGTTTGGTGGAATGAATTGACGGGTCTCAGTTGATTTCCTACTGGGACAGGAACAAGCCACAAAAAACCCACTGGAATTGGTCGGCCCCTTTCTCGCAGTGTTGGCAAAGAAGCCCAGGGCTGGAGACAGTTAGGGAACCCACCAGCAGCAGAAACGGGTAGTGCAATGTGGCCGAAGCCATAGACTGGTTCCGGCGTGAGGCTAGACGCATCAGGGGGTCGACTGAGCCCCCAGGAACAAGAAAGGAGCCGCTGTCGCTCTTGTGACAAAGCTGTCCGGAAATTTTCCTTGGACCGGCGGGACTGAGCTTTGTGCTTCGGGTTCCGCTGGGGCTTCCTTGAGGAAGCCAGTTCAAGTCAAACCCTTGTGGCCCATGAACCGACACGGCTCCTGCTGGTTTCATTAATACTCGGAGCAGACGCCCAGGGCTGATTGAGGAAAGGGGAAGCTGGTCATCTGCTGGGATCCAAGCCAACTCCAGGCTTTGCAGTTCTGGTTATTTACCACCCGCTGTCTTCAGAGCTACCCTAAGACACAGAGGATTGTTCAGGAGCAGTTCCTGGTTTTCTGGGATCTGAGAGCCCAGCTGGCAGATCAAAAGAGCAGCAGCATTTCCCAGCCGGGCACTTGTCACAGTTACCCTGCCAGACGCCCAGCTGAAGGGGGGTTAATTTCCCCCCTCTATTCCCAGGGTGTTGGTGGGGTCCCTGGCTGGCTGGTTAGCAGCTAATTCCTGGAGCTGGCCACAGTATTCCAGGGGCGCAGTCTCCTGTCGGAAAACGCTGATTCACCAGAATTGAAAGGTGCCAATTCCGAACAGAAAAATGTTTCCAAATCTTCTGGCCAAATTTCCGCTCCCGCCAGCTCTGCTGATGACCCAGGCTTGCTGGGGCTGCTCCCTGCTCCTGTCCGGCACAGCTCGGCCAGGCCCCCTCACCCACTGCTTTGTGCTCTGCAGGAACAGAGCCGGGTCTCCAACATCTGGAAGGAGTACAAGAAGAAAAAGAGGGTGAGTTAGGGGCATGGTGCTGGACTCGCACGGGACAAGCCAAGGGGCGGAGGCTAGTAGGCAGACCGACTCGGGGGGACGCTGCACACCCTGGGGCTCGCCCCATCACAGGGCGTGATTGCAGCGTGCAGACGTATCTGAGCTAGCTCGGGTCCCAGTGACAACCTCCCTGCCCCGATGGCCGAGCTAGCCGGATTCAAGCCAGCTTGGGTGTGTCCGCATGAGCTAGTCACATCCCAATAGCTGGACAGACCTGCCCTGAGGCTCTCCTGCCTGTGTCCCCATTTGAACGGTGCTTGGGGCACCTCTGGCTAAAGAATTCTCCCAAACGAGCAGGGCCCCTCTGGCCAACTGGGGGGTCTTGGGCATTCCCACACATGTGGCTGCGGAGCCCCTGTGGTACGGAAGAGCCAGACTGGGTTCAAATGACTCGAATGGGGATTCTCTATGGTGGCTGTTGGATGCAGATAGAACCTGTGATTCTCTTGGGGTCCCCAGACTGGCTGACGGGATTTTGTGCCGTCTCTCAATCCTGCCTGCCTGGGGCTGCTCACAACAGGGCAGCCACAATGGCTCTGGCCTTCCCAGCTGAGGGCTCAGACTCTGTACAAAGGAACGTCCCCAGGTGAAAGCGCTCCCTGCTTCTCCGCTTGGCTCAAGAGCTGTTCGGGGCCCGGTCGGTGCCAGCAGGGATGCAGCTCTCCGCAGGGTCAGGAGCGTGGAGCAAATCCTGGATCCTTTTGGAAACCCTGTTCCCCAGTTCAGTCTCTGGTCATTGTTTTGTGAATGCCCGCGGGCAGCGGATAGGGGGGTGAAGCCCAGATCCAGCAGTGGTGATGCTGACAAAGGACCCGTTCCCCATCCCTGCAGGACCCCACCTTCCTGGAGAAACAGGAGCGCTGTGACTACCTGAAGAAGAAGCTCACGCACATCAAAGCGCGGATCCAGGAGTACGACCGGACGGCCAAGGAGGGCTCCATGTACTTCTGAGCCTGGCACTTGCGGGGTGGCACCATACCGCCCCTAGGCTGGTCCCCAACACCCTGGCCGCCAGCCCTGATTTACTCTGGGGCTTGCTGATGTCTGGGAGATCTCGGCCTGAAAGAGAGCAGGATACAGGACACTGGGGGGCGCTCAGGGGGGCTTGAACAATTTGTATAGTGGGGGTGCTGAGAGCTATTGAACCAAACTGTAAACCCTGTCTATAATGGAAACCAGTCCCAGCCAAGGGGTGTGGCCGCACCCCTAGTTCCAGCACCTATGGGGGTGCTTGTGCCTTGTGGCCTCCTGTGCATCACACACACACCTCAGCTGGGTCACATGTGGGTCAGGCACCATCCCTGCCCCGTGCTGCCCCCTCACCAGCCGGGGCTGGGAACCAGCATTGCTGGTGTGCACCCTCCAGGTGGGACCGAAGCTAGGGGTGGGAGGAATGGGGCCTCAGGCGGGGTGGGGAGAGGTGCATCACTCCTGCTCACGGGAATAGGTAACCAGGTGCACGGTGCATCTGCTCCAGCCAGCAGCAGCCAGACCCATCCTCTAGGCGGACCCTGGGGAGAAGCTGTGAAACTGGACAAAGCTTCTGGCTGAAGAGAGCTGTTGTGATGGGAGGATAAAACGCCCCCGGGCCTGGATCTGTGGTCACTTCATGCTGGTGTAAACTCGGGAGTCATGGCACTGAGGACAGTGGACTTGCACTGGTTTGAATCAGGTCATTGACTTCAGCGGAAGCAGGATTGGGACCCTGACTCCTGTAATGTGGTCCCTGGCTGGAGCCCTGGGAGCCAGGCTGGAGCCCTGGGAGCCAGGCTGGAGATTGCCTCTTACGGGCATGACTTCATTGCCACTCTCCCTTACTCTGTCTGCAAAGCAGCCAGCGGAGGAGAGGGGCAGCATTCATCTGTGCAGCAAAAACTGAGCTTTGGGGGGTGCCCGTAACTGTCCCTAAGGAGCAATGGCTTCTCCAGTGAATAAAATACACCTGGCGGCCCGTGTGTGAAGTCCCTGTAGCCAGCAGGATCTGCCCTGCCCTGCCCTGCCCTGCGCCAGAATTCCCCTGGAGAGGGTCCCCGAAGGGGAAGATGTGAGGGAAGGGATGCTAACACACGTGCTCTCCGCTAAAAGCACTGTGTGTCATAGCAGCATCACGTGGGAAATTAGCGGAGCTCTCTGCTCACCGTGCCCTGAGACACGCCCCCCTCCCCCCAGAGGATGTGACTCTGTTGCAGCTTCCCCCCAGGGGGATTTACTACTTTAGTTCAAGCTCATGAAAGTCTCGTGCTCTTCCTGGGAAGGTCCCAGGTTCAGTTCCTGGGCCGTCCCCATGTGGTCATTAGGGAGCAGAGTGAGAGGACGTGGGGTGTGTCTCCCCTGCACACTAAGCCCAGGCTCTGATTCAGGTTTGAGCCTCCTGGCTACACACATCAGCCTGACTCAGGTCAGCAAACACTCAAGGCCCAGGTCCTTGGACCCTGCTGGGGGATGGATTGGAGCCTGAGTCCCGCTGTGACTGGGGTCCGAGCCCTGTCATGTTGCAGTGTGGATGCAGCTCAAGCCGTTAGCCCAGCTGTGCAACTTGGGTCCAGCAGTTGTAAAGCCAGGTTTACAGTGCGGCGTGGACACTCAAGAATGGGCTTGGAGAAGCCTGGGTTTACAATGCAGTGTAGACAGACCCATGATGAGCTACCCTGGTGCATCTGTGGATTGTTAGCACTAGTGACCAGCGCTGAAAGCTAGCTGCAGAGGGAGAATTTCAGAACACCCTGACTGACAGCCATCCCGGTGTGGGCAGCTGGTCAGAGCAGCCCTGCTATTCGCACGTTCACTGCAACACACCCGGTTTTAGGTTCTTTCTCCACTTACAAAGCTGCTTTTTATTTAAAAATTGGAAACAACAAGGCGTCCAGAGCTAGTTAAGGCCCCAATCCTGCCAACATGCCCCATGTTTAACTTCAAGCCCTGTGGGCCATTCAGCTGAGACACCCTCTGACTGCAAAGCCTGGGACCCCACAAACTCACTGCACCCACGAAGAGCGGGGGGCGCACTGGGAGCAAGACTTAAAGAGGAGTAAAATCCAAGTGCCGGGCTGGGATCCTTGTGGCTTGGCAGGACCTCTCGGGCCCGACTGAGACAGGGAGAGGCAGCTCAACCGTGCCTAGGGGGCTGCTCCCCCGTCGGTCCATGTGCATGACCAATGGAAGGGGTTAAAGTCAAACCAGCCACGCAGCCAGGCGCTTTGATCAGAGTCTTGCACACAAGGCGATTTATGTCCACGCTGGAACAGGGAGCTGAGGTTTAAGCACTCCATCTGCTGCTGCCAAGTTTTTGACTCCAGCTGTGCCAGGTTCCTGCAGTTACAAGCCTTCTCTTCGGCCTGGCTGCAGCGGGAGGAGGCTGGTGGGTTGTTTTTAATGATTGTGCACCTAGTAATGATTAATCCCTGGGCTGCCATTTTAAGATGAACAAAGAGGGGAGGAAAACAGAGGGGACCCAGGTAGCTGCTTTTAAAGGAAACCCAGCCAACCCCCTTCGCAAGGCAGCGGCTCCAGGAATGGCGCCCTGAGCCAGGGGCCCGTCTGCAGGCAGCACCAGGCTGGAAAGCAGCACGTTTACCAACAATACTAAGGCCAGAGACTGGCGCAGCTGGCCCTGGAGACAGCTTCTGCAATCTAAGGTAAGGTGTATTGATCGCTTCACGGGGGAGAGCTGCTCCCTTATTTTTGCATCATATGTTTCAGGATCGTCTCAAGCTCTGTCAGGTTTCAGAGTAGCCGCTGTGTTAGTCTGTATCCGCAAAAAGAACAGGAGGACTTGTGGCACCTTAGAGACTAACCAATTTATTTGAGCAGAAGCTTTCGTGAGCTACAGCTCACTTCATCGGATGCTTTTAAGAAAAGTACTCCTTTTCTTAAAGCTCTGTCGAACTTAAGGGGGCCAGATTCCCAGCGGGTATCAGTCAACCTGCAGCCAGGTAGGGGTCTGGCCCCGTTGACCTCAGTGGAGCAATGGCAATGGATGCTAGCTGAGACCCTGGCCTAGAAAAATTCTTCTCATGAGGTCAGAAGGCTGAATTCACACAGATCTGCCTCCGAGAGTTCGCCTTCGATGCACAACACCGTGAATGTTCACCAGCTGCTTCCTTCAAAGCTTAAATCCTTGTTTGTTGTTAAGGGGCTTTTAGAGGGGCCGTTGTTTATTTTGTTTATTTCTAGAGTAACAAAGCTAGGACAGAAATGAAAACAAGCTTAACTCGCTCAATTGAATAAAGCAAGGTGGTTGCTAAACAAAAATCTTGGGCAATTTAAAGAACCCGGTTAAGGAAAGAGGTGGAATTGCAAAATCTTTGCAGAAAGGGCTTAGGTGTCAGAGTCAACTTCACTGGGTCTGGAAATTCTCTCTGGGGTCTGGGATCAAACTGGAACTGCAGCTTTTAGAAGCACTGGGAGCTTTTGTTGTCTTTGAAACTTGAATCCTGGCCAAAGAAAGGAGGTTTGGCAGCGAGAACACAGCACCAACCTTATCGAGGGCTCTCTTGGGGAAAGAAAAACATTGGGGATTTTTTTTAAAAAGGACTGACTAGAGCACACGCGCGTGTGAGGGGAGCGTACTATTTGCTAGTGCCGGGACAGACGGGTGGAGACCCACGAGGGGCGTGTAGTGAGCAAACCCTGCCCTGAGCTGCTGTGGGCTTCCCAGCTGCAGGCCTGGGAAAACAGAGCCTTGTTAATCAGGTGAAATAAGAGAGGAGGTGGTGTTGGCAGAAACTGTTGCAGCCGGCGTGGAGGCCCCAGCCGAACATTCCCATCCTATCTCCAGCGGTTCAGGACGGCTGGATTCAGCAGGGATCATTGACCCTGCATGTTCCTAGTGATCCTAAAATCCAAGGTGAGGCTTAGAAGGATTCTACGGAGGATTGTTTGCCCTTCCCTGTGTTCTCTGCCCCTCCAGCACTGGGGGGATTATAATGGAGCGCAGGGGCAAGGCTCTCGTGAGCTGAGCCTGTAGCAAAATAAAAAGGCCTTTTATTAAATGTTGGGTGAGGGGGAGAACAGGCAGTTCCTGTGGGAACGCCTGGGCCTGTGCCCAGCGAGTCGGAGCCTGCCGAACCGACCCAAAGGACACTCGGGGGGGGGGGGAGGAGGGGTACACCTCCGGAATGCAGGGGCAGAAAAGAGCGTTTAAAACGTGGCTACCCCAGAAGTATAAGGGATCAAATAAACAAATCTGCGTCTTCCTTTTATGTATCCCTTTAAATATAGCACAGCAAATTCATCCCTGGGGTAATTATTCTCAGCAGCCAGGTCTTCCGTGTATTAGTGACCCTCGCTTGTGAGGGGCTCAGAACCGGGGTGCCAGCCTGACGGCTACACAGCAGTTTTATAGCCCCGCAATTCAAGCCTGGTGAGCTTGAGTCAGCTCCCCGGACCAGCCATGGGTTTTTTGTCGCCGTGTAGACATACCTGGGAGGCCTGGGTTCAATCCCCTGCCCTGGCCGCGACTCCCTTTGAGTAAGTGACTCAGTTTCTCTGGACTGCCTTTGTTCTCCATGGCATTAATGGCCTTTCCCTGCGTCACAGAGAAGTTGTAAATGTAAATACGTGAAATTCCCCCTTTACCGGATAACTGTAACCTACAAGTACACAGGAGTTCTTCTCCCTGGGTCATAATGACTCCTGCAGAAGCAGCAAGGTCGGGCCTCTTTATCTTACTAATAAGGTTTGTGTTACAAAAGCATTTCTGTGTCTGAGCCTCTGTTGTTTGTACCGTTATTAATCAATGCTCGGGAAGTGCTTTGAAGCCCTCAGCGGTGTTGCTATTGCACAGAGCAGGGCGCGGGGGTAGGGGAGACCTAGGGAAAAACCGGTTGACTGAAATACACGAATGTAAGGCAGACAGCCTAGAAAGGCCCGTCTGTCTGCTGAGGTCCTAGTACCATCACCATAGCGTGGGAACATGCGGAAGTAATCTCTTTTAGAAACATATAATCTGTGGGGCTTGGGGGTTTGCATTTTGTTACCAAAGTGTCTGAACAAAATTACTTTAGTTCAGTTGTTGGTGGGTTCTTTTTAAATCTCTTGCATTATTTGGTTGAAGCAATTCGAGTAAATTCAAGTGAGTAAATTTTGTGGGGTGTTGAACTAAAAATGTGGTGGACTTGGTTGATATTGAGGGTGTGACGGCCTGTTTCTCAGGATTTGCACCAGTATATCAGACCCGCATTTGGCAGAGTTATTCCAGGTTTATGCTGGTGTAACTGAGACCAGAGCCCGGTGCTAGTGCAAGGGGGGCAAAAATCATCAAAGTGTCTAAGGATCTGTCTTCAGTGCAAAGTTTACTCAGGTTCTTGCTCGGGGGTTGCCCCTAACCCAGCTCCCGTCCACACCCAAAACCCTCGAAACCTGAGTTTAGCGGTGCTTTCGCCCTGGGCTAGCTGGCTCCTCTAGGGCGGAGTGCTCACGCAGGAGCTGGTAACCCGCCCACTTGTGGCAAGGACATCATGCAGCCAGTCCTCCAGGGCCTTCCCACTATTCCCTCCACGTGCCTAGAGGGACAGACAAGGTCTCCCACAATCCACTGGAGAAAAACCCTGTGGCTCAGTTTACTGCAGGGCAAAGACCCAAGGATGGGCCCCCCGGCGTCCTAGCTGCACGCCTGGATGAGTCGGCACCCGGGAGGCACAGTCACTGTGTGGCTGCCCACACCAGGGCTAGGCTAACCTTGGGGTTGTTCACCCCACTTAACTCAGACCCCATGTGACTTAAGAGTCCAAGCCTCCTGGAAAATCAACAGGCCCCCTCAATTCCCAGCACTTTGGTGACTTCGGCTCCTAAGTCATTTATGTGCTTTAAAAAAAAACTTTACCAAGGGTCCCTAAAGTTCAGCTAGGAGAATCCTTTGCAAGGCGGAGGGCCAAAGTCAATGGGAATTTCACCCCCTAGTGTCAGGGCTGAGCTGTTTGACCCCTGCAGCCTTTGCTAGGTGTGCGTCAATGAGTCCATCGAGGTGAATGGGGTTTCTGTTCTCTGCAGGGGAGAAGGGTCTCGCCCCAGCGTGGGGAGATGGTGCCGAGGGCTCAGGGAGGAGGCTGGCTGGGACCAGAAGGAGGATTAGATTCTGGGATATTAGACAAGCAAGTCCCGTTTGAACAGTCCCCCTACAGAACCTCTAGGTGGCATGAACAAGCCCAGTCCCCTGGTTTTGACCTTCCACCCCATCGTGGATCATTTCTGAGCTGGAGAGACCAGTTGTGCTGCTCAGGACTTAAACTGGGGTCTGCGTGATGCCTCCTTTTGCCGCTGGGGCCAGTTAGAAGATGGCCACCTCCTTGCAGGCTGCACCGGTCCCCAAGGGCTGCCTGGCCTCGCCCGAAGCCATTCCCCCAGCTCATGAATGATTAAGACACCGTATTGCTAGGTCGTGGCACCCAAGAGGGAACATCTACACTGCTGCTTTCAGCCCCGTAACTAGGGTGACCAGATGTCCCAATTTTATAGGGACAGTCCTGATTTTTGGGTCTTTTTTCTTATATAGGCTCCTATTAGCCCCCACCCCCATCCCGATTTTTCACACTTGCTGTCTGGTTGCCCTACCCATAATGCAAACCGGAGTCTGTAGACCCAGGCTCTGAGACTCGCTGCTGCGGGGGGGTTTGCAGTGTAGACGTAGCCAGTGACTAACATGCTTGACTTGACCATCTATGTAGACGCAATTACAATATATCTATCTCCATACACCCCCCCCCATCTAGCTATCTATCCATTCCCATACACCCCATCTATCTATCTATCTATCTACCTATCTATATCCATACACCCCCTTCTATCTAGCTATCCATTCCAATACACCCCATCTATCTATCTATCTATCTACCTATCTATATCCATACACCCCCTTCTAGCTATCTAGCTATCCATTCCAATACACCCCCTCTATCTATCTATCCCCATACCCCCCCATCTATCTATCTATCTATCTAATATACATACCTATACATATAAAACCACCCCAATTCTATAGATGGAGATGCTGGGATTTTCAAAGGGGCCTAGACCCCTAATTGCCACTGATTTGTTATCAACCCGGGGTTATTACGGTAGTGCCTGAAGGCCAGCTGGGAATAGAGCCCCACTGTGCTAGGAACTGCACCAATACGAAGCAGGGGGTGGTCGGCGCTCACAGTCTAACTAAAACGAGACAGGCCCAAGGTCTGTGACACCCGGCGAAGGGCTACAACCCACACGCAGAGGTGGCAGCAAGCAGCATATTGATGCCATGTTTTCTGGAGGGTGGCAGTGGGTTAGTTTGGAGATCAGCTACTTGGAAAGCAAAGGGGGCTGCAGGTGTGGAGAGAAGCTCAGAGCTGGAGCAAACAACGCAGAGCAGTGAAAGTCCAGTCAGAACTGTGGCAAGTTCTCTGGATATTCACAGCTCCCTGCTCCGGCTGCCCTAGGCAGCCGGTTCCACTACAGTCGTCTCCCAAGGCCGGACGGCAGCCGAGAGAAACGCGTGGCCCTCACGCCCTTTGCTCGGGGAGTTTGTAAGTGACTAGCTCAAGGCCTCAGTGGCAGAGCCAGGATTCGAACCCCCTGCCCTTGTGCTTGTCCCACCTCCAGGCCACCCTGCTTGACCAGCTTGTTTATCTGCCGCCCTACCGAGGCGTTTCTAAGGCTGCCCGTCACTGCGGTCTCCGGCCGCCTGCCCTGCATTGGATCCTTCCTCCGCCATGTATAGCCAGAAGCCCTACGACAGCCCGCCCACCGGCTACGGCCCCCCCGGCGACGGCTACGGCTACGACATCCACTCCCCCGCCCCGGGCTCCTTCTACATTGAGGACGTGCCGCAGTATTTTTACAAGTGGAACTCTCCGCCTGGCGTGGTGAGGATCCTGGAGGCCCTGGTCGTCCTGCTCTGCATCACCATCTTCGCCTGCGTGGCCTCTACGCTGGCCTGGGAATACAGCTACGGCTACGGGGGCATGTACGGGAGCGGGCTAGGGAGCTACTACGGGTCTGGCTATTATGGCGGAGGGATGGGCTACGGGGGCTACGGCGGCTACGGCGGCTACGGCGGCTACTATGGCGGGATGACCAACCCGCGGGCAGCCAGCGGCTTCATGATCGCCATGTCCGTATTGTGCTTCATCGCACTGCTGGGGTTCTTCGTGGCCAGCGTCACCAAGTCCAGCAGCGCCCGCTCCCGCAGGTTTTACCTGGCGGTCATCGTGGTGTGCGCCATCCTGGCCTTTGTCATGCTCATCGCCTCCATCGTCTACATCATGGGCGTCAACCCCCGGGCACAAATGACCGGCAGCTACTACTTCAGCCCCATGCTGACCATGTGCAACCAGATGTACTCCTCCGGTGGAGCCTACATGAACCAGTACCTCTACCATTACTGCACCGTGGACCCGCAGGAGGTAAGATGGGCACTGCTTGCGTTTTCCCTTCAGCTTTCCTTCTTTTCTCTCTTTCTCCTTCCTTCCACTTCCTTTCTGCCTTTTCTCTCTTTCTCCTTCTTTTCTCTCTCCTTCCATTTTGTCTTCATCTTTCGTCGACTTTCTCTTGGAGCTGCTCGGAAAACGGGGTGACTGTTTTGGGGAAATGTTAACGTCAATTTAGTCCTGGTTTGTTTAAAATGTGAAATGATCTACAGAGGGGTTTGAAAATTTCCTACCGTTTCGCTCGCTCGCTCGATTTCACAGACGAACAGGATGAAATTTTGGACAGAATATTCGTGGAAACCCCCCATTTGTTTTGGGTTTTTTGCTAACATTTTAAAATTTTGCTTGGAAGTGTTGGCATTTCCCAGCCAGTCAGTACCTCCATAGCCATCGGCTGTAACTGCTACTTTCCCTTTTCCACTAGCCATAGGTGCGCTTCTCCAACTTGCCTCAGCTAAGAGCAGTTCCTGGTGACTAGCGTCAGCTGCCCTTGGCTCGACACAGGGTGTCACCAGGGCTAGGAGGACGGAGCTGAGGACAGGGAAATTCAAGGCTCAATACCGGAGGTGCTTTCTCGTGGGCGAAGCTGTGGAGCAATCTCACAGGGGAACAGTGGAGACCCAAGTAGTTGGGCCTTCTAAATCCAGGTTGGGCAAAGTATGAGAAAAATCCTGCTTTGGCGGGTGGATGGGCTAGACCAGAGGGTTGCATACTGGCCCCTGGCCCAGGGGGGAGCTGGCCGCTGTCATGGTGCTGACTCATTCGTCCTGGGTTTTGCAGCTGAAGGTCAGAGCTGATGGGAGAGGGAGCTGAAGGAAAAGCATGTGGTTATTTTTCCATTCAACCAATGGCTTTAGTTGACAGGAGTGAAATAGGATCATGAAAGGGATGGGAGGGCAATCCCTCTATTAAGCTGTGGTCCCCACTATGGGAAAGTTCGGTAAACCCTGGACTAGACCATCTCCTGGCTCTTTTCCATCTCTACCCATTTTCTGGGATTTTCCAAACCCTCTGTTCTGATCAGCTCAGAGCTCTGCTCCCCTCCTTGAGCCGTCCTGGTGCAACGATTTGTACAGTTTAAAACTCTACAGCTATGAACCAAGTGCCACTGACAGTCGCTGAAAGTTGGGTTTTGCCTTAGTCAGTTTCCCTTGATCCCAGTGGGTCGGGTGGTCACGGCCTCAAAGTCTCTAAGTCCTGGGAGAAAGCTGATGGAAAAGATTTGCTGTAATGTCTTTGTGACAGTTACTATGGATTGACACCATTGAATCCCCATTGGCTACAGCAACGGTTCTGCAGAGCTACACGGGGATCACCGATAGCAGCATCTAGCAGTCTTCGATTGCCAAGACAGATGAGTCCACTGCAGGCTCCCCTTAAACCAGTGTTGGGGTGCGTTGTAGCCCACTAGCACCTAGACACCCCAGCTGAGGTCAGGGACCCTATGTGCCAGGCGCTGCACAGATGCACAGTGAGAGACAGGCCCTGCACCAAAGAACTCAGTCTGAATAAATGAAGGAAGGCTCATTCACCCCATTTTACAAAGGGGGAAACTGAGGCCCAGACAGACACACAGCAGAATCTGCAGCCCAGTTATTTATCATAAATGTTTGTATAGCCCACATTACTGTAGTCTCTGAGCTGAGCACCTCCCAGTATTTAATGGATTTATCCTCACACACTCCTAGGAGGCAAGGCCTGGCTGTCATCGCCATTGAATGGAGGGGAAACTGAGGCACAGAGTGGCTAAATGACTTGGCTAAGGGTCACACAGGGACCCTGTGGCAGAGCTGGGAGCTGAATCCAGGTCTTCCAAGTCCGAGGCTAGTGCCCTGATCACTGAACCTTCCTTCTTCTAAGCTAAGAAGCGCCTCTTTCAGCTCAGAATAAACTCAGGTCTCCTGACTCCCAGTCCACTGCTTTAGAATCATAGAATATCAGGGTTGGAAGGGACCTCAGGAGCTCATCTAGTCCAACACCCTGCTCAAAGCAGGACCAATCCCCAATTTTTGCCCCAGATCCCTAAATGGCCCCCCCAGGGATTGAACTCACAACTCTGGATTTAGCAGGCCAATGCTCAAACCATTGAGCTATCCCTCCCCCCCTTAACCACAAGCCCACCAGCCACGTGCTTTGTCCAGGTCTAGCCCCCAGGATGTAACACGGTGCAAAACAGCTTTATAAAAATCTCCTTCATTTGCTGCTCAATTACTCTGCTGGGCTTGGTCGGTTTCCTTATTGCCACTGTGCAGCTAACTGGGATCTCTGCTTGCTGGCCCTGGCTCCGGAGTCAGAGCTCTAGGCTGTCTGTTGGATAGAAGGCAGCAGAATAGTAACAAACAAGGTGTCTGTGGAGTCAGTTTTGGTCTGGAGAGAAACAATTGCAGCGATTTAAGCAGCAAGCTGGGCGGGGCTGCCGATACCATGCCGTCTGCATTCCGGCCACCTGAAATCCAGAGGCACGTAGAGCTATGCACTTTGCTGTATATTTCCTACCAAAAACAAGCCGTGCTGCACTTGCCTGATGCATGGACCAGATGTGACCTAATCTGTCATTCCCCCCATGTCTAATATCTATCAAACTTCAACATTCTTACTAGGGCCCTATGGGAAATTCTGAGGAGTCTCCCTCTCTCACACACACCAAAATGCAAGGATTTGAACCCCTTCTCCTGGAGCAAAAATCATACAGAGAATAAGTAGCCCCTGTTTCTGCTGCTCTCGGCCATGTGTCCTTAGGAGAAGATTGTTGGTTGTTTCAGCATGCAGCGGGGAGTCAGGACTCCTGGGCCCTTTTCCTGGCTCTGTGGGGCCTTGCAAAAGTCATTTCCTCTCTTGCCATGTGCCTCAGTCTCCCAGTCTGTAAAATATGAGGGCATTGGATCCCTGTAGCTTGCAAAGTGCTTTGGCATCACCTGGTTCCTTTTTGGTTCTTGAGCTGGGCCCAGTCCCGGAGAATCAAACCCCAGAAAGCTTTGCCAGCTCGATTGTTTTGCTGACTTCCACACAGGATAAGATCATAGCAATGAGCAAAGCAGTGGCAGCCTCCCATGTGATTCCTGCTTTGTGCCAGGGACAGCTGGGGAAGCTGATTCGGTTTGTTGCCAGCACAGCCAATCCCTACCATTCCCCCTTTGAGTGCTGCTGGGTTTGTTCTCCGTCGCTTGGCAGCTCTGGTGAAGGAGCCGGTTCCAAAAGCCCTTGCCAACCCAAGAAGCTGCCTTTTCTTCTCTTCCTCCCCCTAAATCCTAATTCCAGGAAATTCCTCATCTGTCTCACTCTCTCTTCCTTGGGGGGACTGTTTTGTCTGATGTAACAATTATTTTCCCTCTATTTGATTTCCCCCCACCCTTTGGCACCTTCACATGGACTGGAATGACTTCTCCAGCTGTGCTAGCAGGAACGGGTGTCTCATTTCCTGCTAGTGGCCAATCCACATAGACGACAACAACCTACTGCTGCTATCAGCTGATGGAGTTCTTCCTTTAGCTTGAGTGGTAGAGGTCAGTGCTGCAGTGCAGAGAGTGGTGGGGTTGAACCAAGCTGATGGATGACATAAGGGTAATTTCCCTGACTCCCTGGCCAACGTGGGTTTTTTCCTCTCTTCTAGGCCATCGCCATTGTCTGTGGGTTCTTCATCGTCATTCTTCTCTGCGTGATTTGCTTCTTTGCTCACAAGACGCGTCACAAGATCTGGAAGTTTGGGAAGCCCAATATCTACTGGGACAAGCCACTCGCCTTCCAGGAAGGCCCCAACGTGGAGGAGTGGGTGAGTCTAGGATGGTGCAGGCTGCGGGTGGAGCAGATGAGTGATAGGGACTTTGAGGCTCCAACCTGCTCTGGCTAACTCAGGGCATTACTAACCAGCCCATCACCAAGGTGTCTAGCTGCAAGAGCTACCCTCAGGAGCCAGATTGGGAAACAAACAAGGGGAGGGACTCTCCTAAGCCCCGTCCACTCATGGCACCAAAATTGAGAGCCCACAAAGTCAGCCGTCACTCACAGTAGGTTGTGCAGATCTTTGTAGCATGATCCATCCTCATCTTCCTTTTAGCAGCAGGGAAATGTTGATGTTGGTAAATCGGAGAGGGGTCCGAGAAGAGCCACAAGAATGATTAAAGGCTTAGAAAACCTGCCTTATAGCAAGAGACTCAAAGAGCTCCATTTATTTAGCTCAACAAAGAGAAGGGTCAGGAGTGACTTGAAAACAGTCTATAAAGAATCTACACGGGGAACAAATATTTAATAACGGGCTCTTCAATCTAGCAGAGACAGGGCTAACACGATCCAATGGCTGGACATTGAAGCTAGACAAATTCAGATTGGAAATAAGGCATAACGTTTTAATGGTGAGAGTAATTAACTGTTGGAACAATTTACTAAGGGTCATGGAGGATTCTCCATCACTGACCATTTTAAAATCAAGATTTAGATTTGTTCTAAGAGAGATGCTGTAGGAGTTACTTTGGGAAGTTCTCTGGCATGTGTTATGCAGGAGGTCAGACTAGATGATCACAATAATTCCCTTCTGGCTTTAGGAGGTACGAATCTATAAATGGTTAACAATGTTGACTGTAGGTCACCATCTGTAGGCTTCAGAGTTAACACTCCATTGTGGTCAATGGGGCATTATCTCTCTGATCTGCTCTTTCAGGCTGTGGGCAGATGTGGCTGGATTCGTCTGCTTCACATTTTAAGGTGATCTAGGCAACCATAAATGTCAGGGTCAGGTTAGGTTCTGGAGCAAAAGATGGACTAGGGCCAGTGCAGTGGCCTGGCAGGGACCGTGGCAGAGTGCTGTGCGCTCCCTGACGCACGTTATGAAATGTGCTATATAAGAACTAGGAATTATTACTTTTGTTCAGTGTTTGTACAGAACCTAGCACAACAGGATCCTGGTCCGTGGCTGTGGCTCCGGCCTACTTCCGAAATTAAAATAAATAACAATAACAATAATATCATGTAGCAATGAGTTCCATGGGTTAATTTTATATATTAGTGGAGGGGGGATGTAGTTCCTTGCATCTGTTTTAAATGCCTTGTTTTTTCCATTTGCTTTTGGGTCTCTTTGTTGCTCAGATATGAGTAACAGGGTGTAGAGAGCAGGGCTGGTCCAAGCTATCTCGAATGTACCAAAAGATAAATAAAACAGGATTGGATCAGATAGGCTGTGAGCCTGGAACCAGCAACACGAAGGGTTTTTGTTCTCTTCCCCTTTGTCTACTGAGTGCTTGAAAGATGTTTGCTTATGATATGATTTAGTTTCACCCTCGTCAATGATTAACCGGGCAGCTCTTGCCACACAGGGTTTCGCCTGGCACATCTCAAACGGCCACGGTGTTCTGGTCCGTCGCTTGGCGCCAGGTCACATCTGGTTGGCAGTGGGGTTGGGCGAGTGGGGTCACAGGCACTTAGGGATGGGGTGGGGGAGCAGGGTTGGTTGTTCGGGTGAAATTTCACACCAGGGTAAGTGCTGGGCTCCGCTTAAGCCTGGGAAATTCATCTCTAGGCGGGGGGCTGGCGGGCGGTCTTAGCACCACTTGCATCCCATTTACACCCATGCCAAGGAAGCAAAGGATTCTGGGATTCCCAGCCATGGGTGTAGTGGTACCGTGGGGTTGCGCTGGGCTTCTGCCCAGGGTGAAATCCCCCAAGGGCCATCAGAGCAATCACCCCTCTCCCCAGTGCATCCCTGCCACTCAGCGTGAGCGTCTGATGCCTAAAAGCCTAACGCAGAGTGACAAGCCCTCCAGGGCGCTGCTGGGCCAGGGCATATGGCAGTTGGCATCCCCTCCACTGCATGGCATGACCCAGAAAAGCAGCCATCTCCGCATCAGGGAGCTGAACAGCGCTGACAAACCTAGCTGTGGGGAAATTAACACAGTCAGAGCAGTCGCTGGAGGAAGACTTGTCTGCAGCAGGAGCCTCCTTTGTTCTGTTTGGGGTCTTGTCCTGCTCTCGTAACTAGGGTCTGAGCATCGCCCAGGCATGTCCTAAGTGACGTGTACCGTGTTTAAGGGCTGGGCTGCGACCTTCGAAAGGAGAGTTAACCGCCAAATCAGCGCTTCTCACAAGGGCAAGGAGAGAGCGCGACTGTCAGAGTCGTAGGCAGCGCGGCCTAGGGGTTAGAGCTGGATGGGGCTCGGGAGCCAGGATGCCTGGGTTGTAGTCACAGCTGTGGCAGGGAGTGTCTAACAGCGCAAGCAGGGCTGGCAGCATTGAGTCCGGGCAGGGGTCAAGGGCTCAATAATGTGTGGAAGTGAACAAGACAAGTTCTTCCCAGACTGGGCTCTGCAGGTGGGAGCTGGGATTTCCCCTCATCCCACTCAGGATCAGCTCCCAGGTCCCCCTGGGGTCCCCCCCCCCAGGATCAGCTCCCAGGTTCCCCTGAGATTCCCCCACTGACCCTAGATCAGCTCCCAGGCCCCCCTGAGATTCCCCCCCAGGATCAGCTCCCAGGTTTCTCTGTATCTTTGCTCATGTGGGAAGGAAGGTGGGAGAGAGACTGACTTAGCCAGGGAATGAAGCTTTTTTCTCCAAAGATCCATCAGATCCCAGACAAGCGACAATTTCTGCCCCCGGCAAGAGGCTCCAGCTAACAAGCCACAAAGGGCCAGGAAGAAAGGAAGGGTGAAAGGGGAAAACATCTGGCTGTCTAGGATTCAGTCTAAACAAATGCCCCCGCCCCTCCCCATTTCCTTAACCTCCAGGAGCAGATGTGGCCGCATTCCCTCTTTGCCTGCACCTCTCTTGCGTCACCAACCCAGCACCTCTCGGCCTGGAGGCCCAGTGCTAGGAAATGCCTTTGGCCTGAGGTCAGGGACTAGGATGCGGGGAACGTTAAGGGGCCGGGGCCCTGCAGCTGCGAGGTTACATAGAGCAGAGGCAGACGTTCATGCTCCAATGGGCAGGGGAGGGAGCGGCCTGCATTATTCAGCAGCCGGCAGCATGGAGCAAAGACAGCTTCCACGGGTGGCTGGGTGGACGTGAGGAGAGGAAGGAAGGAGTTAACGAGTGCATCTGCTATCCAGGGAATGAATTGCAAGCAGGGGCAAACTTAAGGCGTTTAGAAAAGATCTGACTGGAGCAGAGGGGCAACTAGCCAAGGACAGGGGAGAATCAGGCATGCCGTTTATGAAACCTGTTCTGTTTGATCGTTCTGCTACATGTGCCAATCCCTTGGGCTTAACAGTCTGTCCCACCTTGTAGTTCACAGTGACACTCCAAGTACCTTTTCCTGCCCTGAAGAAGAGCTCTTGAAAGCTTGTCTCTTCCACAAGCAGGAGTTGGTCCCATAAAAGATATCTCTTAACCCCCCGCCCTTTCGCTCTCATTTCTATCGATCTCGCTGATCACCGGCCTCAAGAGCTCAATCGTCCCATATCCGGTCTCCCAGAAAAATCACACAATTGGCTTAAAAACTAAGAGATTTTGTTTAAAAATGAATTTTGGTTGCTTTTGATTTGCCTTCTGGTTAGTGAGCTGCTGGGGGGCACGCAGGGTGTGTGCTCAAGCTTTCCTCCAAAAGCATGAAGGTTAAAAAATGACTTTTAAAAAAAGGAGATTCTCCCCTAATCCCAAAAAGAAAAGGAGTACTTGTGGCACCTTAGAGACTAACCAATTTATTTGAGCATGAGCTTTCGTGAGCTACAGCTCACTTCATCAGATGTTGTGATCATACATCTGATGAAGTGAGCTGTAGCTCACGAAAGCTCATGCTCAAATAAATTGGTTAGTCTCTAAGGTGCCACAAGTACTCCTTTTCTTTTTGCGAATACAGACTAACACGGCTGTTACTCTGAAACCTCCCCTAATCCCCTGATTCCAGGCGCTGGAGCTTTAGGAGAAACATGAGGTGTTGAGAGAGTTGGCAACACTGTATCGCTCTCTCTATGTCATCTTCTCCACATGATGCAAGTAGAGATTGCTTGCTTGCTCGCTTTCTTTCAGAGACCCTGATGAACTCAGTCTAACACTGTTTTACCATCTCCTTCCCGGCCCCCGGTGAATGTTATTCCTATTCATACATTAACTATTTACTGATTATTTAAAAATCTGTTCTGTTGGGATGCCCTCTTTAGCAGATGCCTGGTGGAAGTGGAGGAGGATGTACGTGGGGGGCTGGGCCGGAAGGCTATATCAAGGTCACAACTTCTAAAGCTATGGTTCCCCCGTTTAGAGCCAGATTTTAATACTTTGTTTTTGTAACTTTCTGCTAAGTAGTGTCCTACTGCACAATTGAGGTCAATGGGCCCACTGGCTGAGTGAGGCATTGTGTCCAGCATGAGGAAGATTGTGTGAATACAGTGGAAGGATTGCCTAGTGGTTAGGGCACTGGCTTGGGAAGGTGAGGGGTCATTTCTCTGCCACAGACTTCTTGTGTGACCTTGGGTGAGTCACTTAATCTCTGGGGCCTCAGGGGCCTATCTAGAGAGGAGACAGCATTGCCTAGTGGGTGCAGCCCCATTCTGGGACCCAGCAGTGTTGGGTTCTCTTCTTGGCCCTGCCACTGGGTTGCTGTGTAACCTGGGGCGTGTCACTTCCCATCTCTGTGCCTCAGTTTCACCATCTGCAAAATGGGGATAGTGGTCCTGCCCTCCTCTGTAAAGCCCTTGGAGATCAGCTGATGAAAAGTGCTATGTAAGCGGTAGGTGGTATCTGTACAATGGACATAATTGCATTTCCCTAACTCACGGAGGGTGGGGGTGAAGATAAATCAATATGTTAACGATTGGGAGGTGCTCAGATCCTACAGCACTGGGGGTCCTAGATGTACATAAGACAGATGGGCAGAATTTGACCCTGTAGCCTGCCGTCTGTACAAGAGCAAAGCCTGAAAGAACCGAAGCACCCTGGACGTGACCAGTTTCCCAGCCCTGGGCGTTTCCACGTTCCTCCCAGCTCGGTTTATTTACTGAGCAGGTCACCCCTGGGAGGCATTTCCTGAGTTCTGGTGGAAGCGTCTCCTGCATGGGCTCTGTAGGGACCCAGGTCAGGGCGGCGCTGCCCAGAACGGCATATCCTCCCTTTGTCAGTCCCAGGGATGTCTGGGGAGGGAAGGGTTAGTGCTCTCCAGGTGGCTGAGTCCCTGTGATTTATTGTAAGCGAGGCGAGCAAACACCCCTGGGAAAGGGAACTGGCCCCGTGGCGTGCTGGCACAGGGGAGTTCGGGAGGGGAAATTCCCACCCAAACCGCCTGTTCCCTGGCACTGAGCGCAGCCACTCCCCTTCCCGGAGAGCCTTGTATCTCCTTCGCTCTGCTCCTGCAGCTCCCAGACCTCAAACAGCCAGGAGCTGGGGGCTGGGGGGAGGTGTCACCCAACAGCCCCACTGCTTTGTTCTCCACTGCAGGTTGTGGGGGCTGGCTCCTGGGGGTGGGGCATAGCAAGCCAGGTCAGCTAGGCCCTGGAATGGGGGGGTAGGTCACACAATTTAGCCCCATTCCTCTGTGCCTGGGACTTATCCACTGGCACCCACCCATCCCTCTGGCCTCTGCTGCTGGGCTGGCAGGTGGCGGGATCGTGGGGCCCGGTGGTGCCAGCCGCCTGTCACCCAGCCTGCAGGGCGGGGCTGGTTAAATGGCAGGGGAGGTGTTTGCCAAGTGCTGATTTAGCTTATCAGCCCCTTGTACTGTGATAAGGGGGTTGGGGCTGCGCACACGGGAGGCAGAGAGCCGGGATCTGGGCGGTGGTTCCCTGTGCTCTCGATCCCAATCCCAGCTCCGGGGCCCTGCAGACCGGAGGAGGGTTGGGCTGCATTAGCCGCCCCTGGTTTGGTTTTCTGTGTGCCTTTGTGTGACGGTGACCAGGAACGAATAGAACTGGCTGGGCCAGCGTCCCCCTCACGGCTCTGCCAGAGCTCCTCGCACAGTGCAGACCCCCAGCCCCTGTTACCCCAGCCCTGAGCTCCAGCACCACCCCGCTCTGCCAGCGCCCCTGAATCCCGACCCACAGCCCCTTGTTATCACAGCCCTGGGCTCCCCGCCTCCCCGCCTGCTGATGCTGCTCAATCCCGACCTCCCATCCCCCTGTTATCCCCACCCTGAGCTCCCCCCTCCCACACAGCTCTGCCAGTGTCCCTAAATCTCAACCCCCTGCTCTCCTGCCCCCCCAGCCTCCCTCAGGGGTGGGCTGCCGTTTGGGCCCCACTGTGTGCACCCTGCGGACTGCCCCGAGGCCATCACCAGGCCTGAAGTTGAGACCAAGGTCACGCCTGGCCCTGACTCTCGCTAAGGTGGAGCTAAGGGCAGAGCGTGACCCCAGCATCACGCCCAGCCCCCCCCCAAGGCCGCACGCGGGCACAGAGGGAGCCGAACGCCTCTGGCTGCTTTTCAGGTGAAGAACGTTGCAGAGGGGGCTAGCATGCCCGATGAGATGGCCACGCTGGCCTACTCTGAGAAGCCAATGAGCCCTGTCAACGCCCCGGCCAGCGCCTACGGCTACCCGCGCAAGGAGAACGGCTACTATGCCCCCGAGGCCTACAACGCCGGAAGGTGAGTCCGTCCCAAGGGCTGGGAACCCAGGGTCCCTTTGTATCCAGATCTCCCACCCGGGCCTCCGGCAGACTCTTCCCCACAGCTCAGCTGGGCTCACGGTGCTCGGGAGCCACTGGTTTGACGAAGTAACGTACCCGGTGAGTCTAGTGGTTAGAGCCCAGGGCTCGGACTCATTGGGTTCAGGGCACAGCTCTGTGGGACCTTGGGCAAGGCCCTGCATCTCCCTGGGCCTCATTTCCCAGACATCTGCAGACTGGAGGATAACGGTCTGAGGCTGTGAGCTCTGGGGCAGGGGCTCTCTCTCACTGCGTGTCTGGGCAGCAGCCGGCCCGGCGGGGTCCTGAGCTCACACTGCTTCACTGCTGCTGGTAGGAAAAGGTGTCCAAACCGATAATGGTGCCCATGTGGGGAGCGCGCTCCCGGTTTCACTCAGACCTGCCGCCTTCCCATGCTGCCAGCCCCCGGTCACCCGCAGGAGCTGGGGCGCTCTAGCCCAGGGGTTCCCCTGTGTCCCGCCTGGATGGATGAGCAGTTTGGGGAGGTCTCAGGCTGAGAATCCCGGCTCTAGGCTGAGCCCCGTGTCCACACACACCCCTCCCAGCTCTCCTGCCCGTGTGGTCAGCGATCAGCCTGCCAGGACCTTCAGCACCAGCACCCTGGAGGAGAGGGGGAGGGAGAGCTCCAGCAAGCCCGCCGCCCGGCGTGGGAGGAGAAGAAGGCGCAACCCCGAGCTGGACGAGTCCCAGTACGAGACGGACTACACCACAGCCATGGAGTCCAGCGACGAGCGGGACAAGGACGAGTGGGGCAGGTGAGGGGCTCGCTCTCCCCAGCGCGTCCATCAGTGACCCCTGGCTGCCTCTGCAGGGCCGCATCTACTGGGGCCATCCCCCAGAAGGGTGTCTAGCACCAGAGATCGCTGCTGTTAACATCAGAGGCTGGGCCACAGGGGGAGGGGCTGACCCATGGCCAGGCACAGTCATGCACATTGGAAAACACAATCCCAACTATGCATATAAAATGCTGGGGTCTAAATTAGCTGAAGAGAGAGATCTTGGAGTCATTGTGGATAGTTCTCTGAAAACATCCACTCAATGTGCAGCGGCCGTCAAAAAAGCCAACAGAGTGTTGGGCATCATTAGGAAAGGGAGAGATAATAAGACAGAAAATATCATGTTGCCTCTATATAAATCCCTGGTAAGCCCACAGCTTGAATACTGCGTGCAGATGTGGTCGCCACATCTCAAAAAAGATGTATTGGGATTGGGAAAGGTTCAGAAAAGGGCAACAAGAATGATGAGGGGCATGGAACAGCTGCCATATGAGAAGAGATGAATAAGACTGGGACTTTTCAGCTTGGAAAAGCGACGACCAAGGGGGGTATGATAGAGGTCTATAAAATCATGGCTGGTGTGGGGAAAGTAAATAAGGAAGTGTTACTGACTGCTTCTTATAACACAAGAACTAGGGGTCACTGAATGAAATTAACAGGCAGCAGGGTTAAAACAAACAAACAGAAGTATTTTATCACCCAACGCACAGCCAACCTGTGGAACTCCTTGCCAGAGGATGTTGTGAAGGCCAAGCCCATAACAGGGTTCAAAAAAGAACAGATAAACTCATGGAGGATAGGTCCATCAATGGCTATTAGCCAGTCTGGGCAGGGATGGTGTCTCTAGCCTCTGTTTGCCAGAAGCTGGGAGTGGGTGACTGGATGGATCACTTGATAATTCCCTGTTCTGTTCATTCGCTCTGGGGCACCTGGCATTGGCTGCTGTCAGAAGACAAGATACTGGGCCAGATGGACCTTTGGTCTGACCCAGTATGGCCGTTCTTATGGTCTTATGTTATGCCATGCAGCTGGACCAGGATGGGGATCCAGGCTGCCCCATTTGGCCTGTGGGGGAGGGCTACTCCATGGGAGGCGGGAGGGGGATATGGTCACGCCAGCTTCACTGACATTTTGACAAGTGTGCTGGCATCCCGATGTGATGTCATTGTCACGGCGATGAGCTCGTGCAGTGATGTCACCATGTGCCGTGGCAGCAGCATCTGGGGGACGCCTGCATTCCTCCCCCGTCAGACAGGCCGGTGACACGGCCCTCCTGTAATTCCAGTAGGCACCTGCCAGCTCCCTGGATGTGGGTGCAAGAACAACGCTGCATGGAAATAAATTGCAATGATTTGGGGGTGCAGGGGAGCGGGGCTCCAAACTCGAGGCACCTTGAACCTGGTTCCCAGGGACTCGGCCCTTCAGCCCCAGAGCACCCCACCCCCCGCTGAGTCCCCAGTCTAATCTCTCTCTCTCTCTCCCTCTCCTCCTGCCGGGCAGCGTGTACCCCCCAATCACCTCGGACAGCATTCGCCAGGAATACAAGCAGGAGTTCGATGCTGACCTCAAGCACTACAAGCAGCTGTGCGCCGAGATGGACGACATCAACGACCAGTTGAACCAGCTCAGCAAGCAGCTGGACGGCTTGTCGGAGGACAGCCCACAGTACCAGGTCAGGGCGGGGCCAGGCTGGGGCTGTGCTTTACCGACTGACACGGAGTCTGTAGGGGTTGTATCACAGTAGCCCCTCTAGGGCTCAGCAGAACTCAGGGTCCCGTTGTGCCTGGCGCTGCACAGACCCCAAGAGCCCGGCCCGACTCCGAAGCGCTCACAGGCTCAACAGACAAAGGGGGCGTTGTCGCCCCATTTTGCAGCCAGGGAACTAAGAACCAGAGAGATTCAGTGGCAGAGGCAGGAACTGAGCTTAGGTCTCCTGATTCCCAGCCCAGTGCCTTATCTACAGGGCATCCTTCCTGCTACTTCACCCCCCTGCAGAGGGGCCAGCACCAAGCTGGAGCCCCACTCAAGGGGCATGTAGGTCTCATCTGATAGCTCATGCTCATCTATTTTGTTCAGGGACCCACCCTGCCCCTGTGGAAGCTGACAGGAAATTTTGCCCAGTCAGTGGGAGCTGGAAGACATCTCTTCTTCTCCTTCCCTAGCTCCAGCCCCTGCCCAGCCCATCCTGATTCCACCAGCATGCAGTGATGGGCTGCCTTGGGAAGACTGCCTTTCGGCAATGTGGCTGGCTTTCCATACAGTAGCCTGAAAGGGTTTCTTTGTCAGCCCCCGCCTGGCACCATCACCTGTGCTCCCTCGTTAGGTACACTGCCGAGTGATGGCTCTGGAATAATTATCTGCTGTGCACATAACATGGCCCTCTCCTCCTGGTTTTTCTTTTTCAGGGAGTCGCCGAGGAATACAACCGGCTGAAAGATTTAAAACGGGTGAGTCTCCAAAACCCAGCTTGTCTTTAGCCACTTGCCTCTGTGTTTATTCTGTCTGTCTGATCTCCCTTAAGGATTTGTGTGTCTGTCCATTCCCCTAGCTATTCAAATAGCATCCCATAGTGAGTGTCCTCAGCCAAGGGCTTAGCCGTTCAGCATTTCTCACTTCAGCAGCCTTAGAACTTGTCTACACACGCAAGCGGCACCGGCTTAACTTAAATCGCTTTCCAACCCAGACATGGTTAAACCACTGAAAGCCCCTATGTGCAGGTATGGATATCGGTTTGAATATAGTTCTGTCGGTTTAGCTGAATGCCTGTCAATTTCCCTAGGTGAATGAAATTATCAGAGTGAGGCTTAAACTGATTTCAGGGTGTCCACACACAATGTTGCACCAGTTTTATCTGAATCGGTTTAAAATCTCGTGTTGAGTTAGAGCGGGGCAGCTCTGTGCGTGTAGACCAGGCCTGGGGGTGATTGTCTTTTTTCCCCTTTTCAGTGAATTTGTTGCTCCCATGAAGGGGGCTGGACTGAGAGCCCAGAGCTGGAGTTCTGTGCTTCATCCCAGGGCAGGGGCAGCATAGGGTGACCGGACAGCAAATGTGAAAAATTGGGACAGGAGGTGGGGGCTAATAGGAGCCTATATAAAAAAAAGACCCAAAAATCGGGACTGTCCCTATAAAATCAGGACATCTGGTCACCCTAGGGCAGCATGGCTTTAGTGCATGTGTAGCCAGTGATGTAACCGATCCCAGAGCTGGAAGGCCCCGGCTAGGGGTGGGAGGTTAGCTCCGCTCTGTGTGCCCAATCCTGAGCATTGCTGTGTACACGCCGTTCTCACTGAAGTCAGTGGGAGCCGCACCCCCCAGAATCAGGCCCCCATTCCCTAGTCTGGGCTGGGTGGGGGGAAAGTCCCATGCAGTGTGTGCTTTTGTGACAGCCACCCTCTTGGCTGTCATAAGGGGGATTGAACTGGGGACCTCCGGAGCTGAACGTAGGAGCTGCTACAGCTTGAGTGAAAGCTCCCTGGGTGGAGGGGAGGCGGGCGGGCATTGTAACAACTCCTGTCCTCACTCCAAGGGGGTCTGTAACACACGCCCACCAGTGGGTTACACTCTGTAATGTGGAGACTGGTCATCTAGGACCCAGGCGATGAATGTGCTTGACGTGGCCCAGGAGCCATCAGCTGGTTAAAAACTGCCAACCCTTCCGTACCTGGGTCAGAGTCAAACACGTGACCTGGAGTGCAATGCCCTGCCACCCTTCGCAGTGCCCCTGAGCTGGCTGGTTTGGTGTTGGATTACGCTCTGTGGCACAGCTTGAAATCCAACATGCTTCAGTGAGCTGAGACGGAGGAAAAACACCTCCTGCTTTCAGAGTTGTCTAGACGGCACCGTCCAGTGCCAGCCTTGCCCTCCTACAGCCTGCGGCATGGCCAGGGGGCCTTCTTCACTCAGCCGATCTGCTCTCCGCTGTGGGGACCTGGCAGGCCTGCGGAGCTCACTGGCTTTGGATTAAGAACAGGAGGACTTGTGGCACCTCAGAGACTACCCAATTTATTGGAGCATGAGCTTTCGTGAGCTACAGCTCACAGACTAACACGGCTGCTACTCTGAAACCTGGCTTTGGATTATTCCCTTGAGCCCCGCAGAGCCAGCCCAGTGGCATGAGGGGGTTCCACTGGGGTTCATACATCCCAAAGGACAGCTTAGTTCCAGTTGCAAAATCTTTATTAGCGGGGAGCGTGCACGAGGCAAGAAGAAACCCGACGCGCCTCTGGGATCCCAGGTTGCTTTTGCAGCACAGGCCGCAAAGGATAAAAAATCTCTCTGTTCACTTGCAAAGGGAGGGGGTCTAAGCTGGGATCGCAGTCAACACGTGGGGCTTGAACTCAGAACCTTGAATATTAAGTACCAGATTTTCAAAGGGGACGAGAGCTCATTTAAGCACTGAAGGGAGCAGTCCCATTGGGTGCTGAGCATTTTCTTAAATCTGGCCTCAGTTGTGGGCACTGAGCCCTTGAAAATCTGGCCATGAATTCTTAACATTTGCTCTCCAGAAGCATCAGCCTGTGCCACTTGAGCTAAAAACAGAACTCCATTAGCTGGTAGCAATGGGAGGCTCTTATCTTCTTATGCAGACCAGCCACTAGATGGCGACGCAGAACACTGAACCAGCTCCCACAATGCTTCGTGCTTCCAGAGCACAACTGCATTAAGGAGCCAGAGAGAATGGGCCCCCGTGTTCCCTGCGACGTGATTAACGCCTCCTCGTTTCTTGCTCTCGTTTCAGACTCCTGACTATCAGACAAAGAAAATGGAGAGCAAAGCTCTGCGGAACAAGCTGTTCCACATCAAACGCATGGTGAGCGATTACGATAAGATGAGAGGCTAGCGCAGAAAGCGGAATCCTTTGGAGGGGGAAGAAATTCTGTGTGTGGTCAGCCGACTTCCCTCCACGAAGCGCTGCAAGAATGCCAAATACCTGGACTAAAAGCAGATTTCTTTTTGCTTTGTACACTCGTTTCAAAAGCAGAATCTCTCTCTCTTTGTGCTGTTTCCAAACCGAAACCCGACAGGTCTCAGTGAGCGGGGCAAGAGGGCGCTTTTTAGAACAGAAATGAAACTCCAAGGAAGTTTGCGCTCTGGTTTGATTCCGGTGGGCCCTTATCTTGCAATGACCTAAGCAGAAATCCTGGCCCCATTGAAATCAGTGACTTCAGTGGGGCTAGGAGATCATCCTTGGTGCTTAAGTTTACGCATGCAAGTCATGAATTTAATAGAACTGAGCATTAAGCATGCACCTGCGGTTGCTGCAGCATCGGCCCTTCGGTTTGTACATGTGTGCAGATGTAAATTTGTAAATACGTGGGTGTGTATATAAATTAGCCTCCTGTTTTATATGATCAAAGGGTGAGCCTCTCTGTAGCATGCTCACGTGCTGGTCCCGATCCTGCAAGCCCTTACTCGCCCAGGTAGTCCCAGTGAGCTCAGTGGGACATCCCTCGTGAGCGAGGACCCTCGGTGGGTGAAATTCACCTCTGGGCAGAGGGATTTGTACAAGGCCTATGCACCACTGACCCCCCCCCGAGCACAGTAGGTGGAATGCTGGCCCCATTGACCTCTGTGGGGAGTGAGCTGTTACTTCAATAGAGCCCGGATTTCACTCCTTTCTGGGGACTTTGTGCTGCATAAGCCTGATGCTGGATCCCTGCCCAAGAAAGGCTTGCAGGATTGGGCCCGTGCTCTCTGGAAAGGCAATTAGCAAGGACTCCCGCTCCCTCTTAGATTACTGTCCTCGTTCCCCGCCATCCCCCGAGTCCCAATGTGATTCAAAGCCAGGAGCATGGGAGATCCGCAGCTGGAGCTCTGGAACCCAGGCATGTTTCACACTCCACACCAGCCTGCCGTAAGGAGCCCGTTCTAACCAGCTGAGGGTGACGGCCTGTCGCCCGTTCTAACCAGCTGAGGGTGACGGCCTGTCTCCCACCACAGCAGCTGAGATGCGTGCAGTCAAGCTGGGTGTAAACGCAGACCCAAGTTCCAGAGATTGTCCCAGCCCCTCACCTCCTGCCCCATTCTGCAGACGTGTCTCTTGTGGAGCTGACAACTGAGTTCGGCAGTGGATGCATTTCACCGGGATGAATAATACATAGGGAACTCCTGAGTCACCCAGCGCAGGCAGCTCACACTCCTGACAACTTGACAAGCCAGCAAAAGCCAGGGTTTGGGCGCCCTCCCGCCAGAGCCCATGCTAGGCGTTCTGTGAGGAGATTTCACGCTCACATGGGCATCCCGGTGCCAATCTTAGAATAGCCCCTACAGCTGCCATGGTTTTATAGCGCTGGACGGCACGGTGCGAACGTTTGAACGCAATTTCTTTTAACGCCACCGGCACTTCCTACGCCCGTGTGCTATTCTGTAGGGAACCGGTTATGATGTCTGGGGTTGTTTTTTTTAATAAACTGTATCTATTGGTTTTAAATTTCAGCAGCTTGCTGAAAAATGAAACGCTTCCCCCTTTCGCTCCTGAAGCAGTGTGTGGCTTAGAGAAAAAGAATCTCTGTATGTTTTATGGGCTGCAGCAGCCAGAGGCAGTGAGTGTTTTGCCGCTGGCCGGAGCACTATTTGAAGGTAGAAATTGGGCAAGGGGAGAGATGACAGCAAGTGCATTTGATGCAGTCCCTGCTGGCCTCCAGCCTGTCAACCCATTGCGGTCATGAGTTTATGCTCCTGACAGCCCATGTGGGAGGTGAGACTCATCATCCCTGGTTTGCCAGACCAGGCAGGACCCAAGGCCCAGAGTGCTGCAGTGACTTGGACGAGGTCACGCGAGGAGTTTGGGGCAGAGCCTGAAAAGTGAACCCCAACGTCCCCCAGCTCCGGCCAGTGCTTGAACCACAAGGCCAGCCATGCTCTGCCAGCAATGGGCTGGCAAAGTTCCCACCCCCAGCCCAGGGCTGCATTCTTATAGCTGCATTCTTCTAACATGCCTTGCTGGGGGGGAGGACCTATACATTTGGCAGAGAGAAGCTGCTGGAACCCTGAAGTGGCCATTTGCCTGCTGCCAGCTGCCTCTTGCTCCCTGCCCGTGAGTACTGCTAACCCCAGGTGCTTCCCCTTTCACGCACTGAACAGGGGCGGCCCCTTTCCTAGAGCCCTTTGAGTTCTCCGGGCCAAGCGAGCCAGGACAGGTGCTCTTGGGCGCTCCAATATCTTGGTCACAGTTTGAGAGGGGTTGGTCTGTGGGAACCTTGCTTCCCATTTGATGCAGGCTGGTGGATTCAGTCCCCTTCCCGCCCGTCCTTCTCCCTGCGGTCTGCTGTCCCACATGACCTGCGTACGCTGAAGACAAGGGTTTTGATGCGCAGTTAGTGTCTGGTAAGGTCAGCTGGGCCTGGAGAGGACCCGTTAGAACCACATGACCAGCCCTTATGTTGCCCACGCTTGGGATTTTTATTGTGGAGTTCCCCTGGCTCAGGGTTTTTCTTAAAGCGCCAGCTCCTGGAGGCGTGGGATTCATGAGCAGCTCAGTGTTTGGTTTCAAGAGAGAAACTTCTAGCCCTGGTGGTTGCAGAGAAATAGCTTGAAAATCATGACCACTAAAGGCTCAAAAAAACAGAAAAGAAATTTAAAAATAAATAAATAAACCTCCCCCCACCCCCCCCCGGCCATATGTATTGTTCTGTGAAAGCTCCTGATTATCTTTAGCTCATCTTGTGATTTCTGGGAGCAGCAGGGTGCTGCATGGCACATGCTGCTGCTCATCCTCTCAGGCCCGTAGATGCTGTCAGAGCTTTAAGCCGGCCGAGGGCCTGCTGCGGTTTGCCCCATGGGCTCGTTGAATGGGGGGGGGGGGGCGCTACTGTATCTTGGGGGCTGTGATGGTGTGCAGTGGCACGGCAAGCCACGGGGCTGGCTCTCAGCTGAAATCCCTGGGGCTCTGTATGGCCCTAAGGGTCAGCCCTGCAGGTCTTGGTGAAAGCCTGAGCCCAGGGATTGAATCCCCCATCCCAGCTGAAAACCCCTTGGTTGCACTAGGTGCTGTGCTCCCCTGACTCCAAGGGCCTTTCCTCTATCACACTCCCACCCCCAAGAAGTATCTGGGCCCAGTGCCAGGAGCTCTGGGTTTGCCGGCCAGATCCCTCCTCAAGCTGCTGCACTTAATTCTCCATGTCCTAAAGCTGTTCTACGCTGTGAAACTGCTGCTGCGTTCCACCCCAGACCTGGCTGCTAGGGCATGGTGGTGTGGGAAGGGCTTTGAGCTGCTTGCCATGTGAACTATTTTCTATAAAATATTTAAAACCCTAGGACCCTTCTTGCCCAGATGGCTTCTGAAAAGTCACTTTAGTCCTAATCCCACTGAAGGAACTAGGAGCCTGAACTCTGGCTGCATTTTAATCCTCAATCTTTGACCAATTTTACTGCAAAGGCCCCAGGTCCATGGTATGGTTTAGTCACCAGCACGATTACACCCCTGAATTAAGTGCAAGAAAGCGTGGGTCTGGGGGAAGAGTCTTGTCACCCTCCCCCAGACACCTACATATAATGGTTGCATTAAATGGACGTGACTTGTCTTTTCGATGGCCCTGCACCTCATGTGCATGTTTACACAAGGGAGGATTTTACACCCAATGAAAAGTTGTTTTACACCTACATCCCACTGCTGTCAGGGCCTGCGCAAGGTGTAGTGGTGAATTAGGCCCAAACCCCTTTACAGACAGGGTGGGCTACACAGAGAGGCTAATTCGGGGCACTGCCTGATGGAACTAGATTGATCATCATGTTAAAACCCAGCCCCAGCACAGAGGCCCAGAGAGCGTTGGCTGGGGTAGTAAGGGGTTTGGGGGCCCTATAATACAGAATGCTACTGTAACACCATCCCTGGCCCTAGCAGCTCAATTCCTCTCCGGGGGTAGGCATGGACATGTTAGATTTGCATTGGTAAATGTCGGGAATCAGCGATTTACCTGCACACGCACACACCCAACCCAACAAAACAATATTGCCATTGATCATCGCAATTCCCAGGTAAGCAGAACAAGCCCCACGCTGCCTGAGAGCGGCGGATGTAGGATTGTTAACATGGCACTTGGGAAATGACAGTGGAATCTAACTAGCGAAGGCAGAGAAGTATCTGGGCCCAGTGCCAGGAGCTCAGGCAGCAGGAGCAGCCCCTAGCAGGGGATAAGGAGTCCGGGCACAAGTCCGGGTTGTGCTAGTGTGTCCAGGAAAGTCTATTCCAGAAGAAGGCACCACCCAGAAGCATAAAACACACTTTTATTGTTGTGATTCTTTGGCTGAGCCCTTTTCTAAGGGGGTCTTTGCAGGCGTGCTGCCCTGGCGCTTAGACCTGGAGACACTCAGTGCGACAGCAACAGTAACTCTCTGCTTTGGTGACGGGGGAAAAGTTCATTTCCCAGCCCCTTAGGGACCCAGACTGGGGCATCAATGCCCACGCAGGATTCAGCGGCGCGTCTGGTTCTTATTTCTGAACAGAAAAATCTCTTCATAGCACCAAACCTTACTTGAAAATTTCAAGTATCGGGGCTCTGCGCTGGTTTTGCCACACCTGATAATATCCCATAATGCCCCTGGGTGACCAAAACGCCCCTGCTCTCGGGGATTAAGTGCAAGCGGGTTTAGTGTTAAGGCTCTTTGCATAGAACAGCAGAATCCAGGGCCTCATTTTTTTCAAGAGTGACTAGAGATTTTGGGTACCACTGTTTCTGGATGCCCTCAAAGGGGGCCATGCTTTCAGAGCTTGCCCAGCACCTGCTTTCTGAAAGTCATGCCCCGTTGTGGTGCCTCACCTTGGACACCCCAGAATCTCTAGTCACGCTTGGAAAATGTGGATTCAGGGTCCTATTTGCCTCCACAGTAGGAGGGCGCTTTGGAGCAGCAATGTGAATGTGTAACAATAAGATTTAGCGCTTCGTATCTCCCAGGCACCTTGCAACCATGGCTTAACTCCAGGCAAAGTGAATCCGCAAGGTGGCTGCAAAGCAGCTGTTTCTCCGGCCTTTAAAAACCAGTGGGTGCCAGTGTGTTTAATGGAGAGCCGTTGTCATGCTCCTCCTCCCTCAGAGACGAAAATGAGATCTCTCCTCGGAAGTTTTTAGGGGAGCTGGATTAAAGATTTGTGTGGCTGCTGTGCTGAAAAGTCTCCTGCAATATATACTGAAGGGGGGAAAGGCAGGTATTCAAAATCCAGGCAGCTCATTCCCACCCCAGCCCATGTGGTCGAAGGCCAGCGCCTTCCCCACTCCCCTCTAAACAGAGCACCCCTTCGTAAAAGGAACATCTGCATTGACTTCAGTTAATGGGTTTAGAATCAGGACTTGATCTAAATAAAAAGTCCTCCACCCATCTAGCTTTCTTTTGCTTACACAGAGATAGGATGTCTGTGCCGAGCCTGTTTATAGCAAGGATCCTCAGGCTTGCATCACTGGGGAGCAGCCACACTTGTGGGGCAGAGGCCACACGGTTCCAGGAACGAGGTCTGCCCCAGATCTGCCTCACTTTGCATTGACCCCCCCGTGCTAGGTTCTTTTCTGCAACAGCAATTCCCATGTGTATCAGCAATTGCCAAAAGAACAGTATCTTTTAATAGGACAAATAAACCATGCCCCACTTACCAGTTTAGCACATAACCCTGAATCTGGCCAGCCCTGCCCTTGCAAAGAGTGATTTACCCACTACCTGTCCTGGATTTAATAATTGCAGTCTGCTTTTTATTTTGCCATACAGAGATTCTGCCTCTTGGTCCCCTCCCTTCCACTTCAGATGTTGGCAGCCTTCAAGCAATTTAAGAGCTCACTACCGCTCCTCAAAGGCTCAGCAGAATTAGGAGAGGGAAACAGCTGTATGCCTGAAAAAAAGGAAAGGGGAGGAGACAGTGTTTCCTATATATAAGGGTCTGCGGTGTAAAGCAGCTGCTAACTTTCCTTGACACGATCACAGGCGGAGAGGGACTGGCTTGAGCTGAGCTGGGAGATGTCAAATATAGAGTGGTGAAATGAATGGGGGGAGGTCATCTGTAATATAGGAAATGCCTCCCCTTCGCCTACTGTCTCCACGCCAGGCCAGGCATCGTGTAACTAGAGCCAAGGTGAATTCGGGCTGAACAGCAGGGAAGCGTCGTTGCCTGCAGGGGGTCGAGGGAAGCAGGCAGGGCCAAGCACTGGAGCTCTTCCCCCATGGAAGGCCAGACTGGATCTGACCTGTGGCCCTTCTAGCCCAGTAGCCCGTGGCCAGCACCTAGGTTCTCCCTAGTTGTTGCGCTAGATGCAGGCGTGACTGGGTGACAGCATGGGGCCTGGGAGGCTGCTGCTCAGAGCGGAATGATCCCTTGGGCCTTGAAAGCAGAGATGATGCAAGAACCCATGCAAGGCCTAACGTGACCCCCTTTTTCCTTCCCCTCCCCCTGTCCCCCACCACACACTGGCACATCCCTGGAGGGTACGGCTTTATCTCCCTTCCCGAACTTGGTTATTTTAACCCGTCTGACACTGGGCAGTTCTGTTATTCCCTAGAGTGGTCTGCCATTGGCTAGGGACCAGGCGCTGGGCTCTCCGCCGGGTCTAGTTCCTAGGGCTCAAAACGCTCTTGCCAGAGACAGCTGCTGGCTATTTTACCTGACATCTGTCATTTAGCTTGCGTGCAAAAGGCAGACGGGGGGAGGGGGCAGGAGAGAGAGGCCTGCAGCCCCGGTCGCTCTGGACTGGCTCAGAGGCAACAGGCAGAGCAGCAGAATAGCCCACAGTCATTTCCCACCTCTGTTGTCCGGTTCCCCAGGGACGGGAGTTTGAGCTGGTCTTGCCTTCAGAGAGGTTTTTCTAAATAAGGAAAAAATAAAAGTTCAAATCCCGACCGCACGACCCGCCCATTGTTCGATTCCAGTCGTCACCTATCCAGAGCCATCTGCTGTCGCACTCTGAAAAGTCATCGGCTCCATCCCTTTGCTGACCCACTCCATGAGTGGGGAGGGGGTTCCGTGTGCAACACCCGGGCGAGGCGCCAGCTAACGTTGCCACGTGGGTGGGGGGCCGCACTGTCTGGGACTCCGGCCTGGAAAAGAACCGTGCAGGCCTGAGCCTCTGGCCGTGCAGGAACCGCTCAGGACAGGGCCCAGCGAGGAAGGGTTTCTGGTGGAACGGGCTGGGGTTCCCGAGCTGCATCTGGGACCGCGAGGGGAGAATTCCCGCTGTCTCCTATTGCCCCGTCCCGTAAGGCCAGTTGAACGTGCTCCCAGACAGCAGCATGTCCCTAATTAGTGTTTCGATGGGTGTCTTCCCCACCAGTCTCATAAAGAAGAGCTGAGAGATGAGTGAAGCCGGCACCGCCCGGAGCGCCGGGAGCCGCAGCAGGAGTCTGCCAAAGCGCTGGGGCTGAGATGGGTACTGGGCACGGACGTACTCCGTCAGGGCCACCTGCGCCTTCTCTTGCAAGCTCTCCACGTGGGCAGGGTCTGAGAGGCCGCAGGCATCTGCAAAAGGCAGGGGGGAGAATCGTTAGCAGGGAACAGAGATTGTGCAGCTCTGGAAGTCCCCACCACACCGTGCTAAGGGCCGTGCAAACGCCGACACACGGGCCCGCTCCACTTCCGAGATGCGAAGGCCGGGCAGGACTATTAGATCCTCTCCTCTGACGGTGGGTGTAACACAGGCCACCACGTGGCTCACAGGTACCCCATATCCAACCCAGCGCCACCACTCTCTAAGGCTCTTCCGTTCCCATCCCTCCCTTGGCTACAGAAGGGCCAGAATGTGTGCCTGGACTGGCAGACAGCATGGCCTAGTGGACAGAGCCCCCATCTTGGGGTGTAAGGGACCTGGGTGTCGATTTCTGGCTCTGCCATTGGACCCGCTCAGTGACCTTGGGCAAGTCACACCCCCTCCCACGTGCCTCAGTTTCCCTATCTATACAATGGAGATAACGATACTGCGTTTCGATGGAAAGCCCTCTATAAAGCAAGGGATTAGCACTGTAATCTGCCAGCAGGGACAAAGCTTCCTCAAATGAACACAAGAGGCTGAACCTCCCCCACTCCTGGCACAATATTGCCCTTGTGAGCAACACGGTTGCAACAATGCTCCACGGGAAGCCTTAGCGTGAGGGTGTAGATTGGTTTCAGTGTAAACCCAGGGTAGACCCGCTGCTCCCACTGCAGGCTGCATGGGCACAGGGGCACTGAGATGCCACAAACACAATCATGTAGCCGGGCAGAGCCTGCCAACCCTTCATCAGCAGCTTTCGTTTGTTCCCTGCAGCCAGTCTCCAAGTAGGAGCAATTCACCCTGCCAGCTGACGCAGAAACACAGCCGGGCTTCTATTTTATTAACCATCCAGCGGCTCATGGCAGGGGTATCTGCCTGCCCAGATATTTTAAAATCACAGCAGCACTGCCATGTTAAACGGAGGTGGAAAGGCATCAAGCCATGGCCTGCCAGTGCCCGTCTGTCACATGGCGATGGCCATCCAGTCAAGACAAGTCCTAGAACATCCTTTTCTCCTCCCCCACACCCCCCACCTTGCATCTTTGGCTACCTTGACCTTCCTGTAACGTTTCCCAATCAAATCAAATTGCTGGCTTTCTGTAGCTATCCATGCAACACTGCATTAGACGCCTGGCGCGCGCATGTCCCACTATTGCAAGCCAAACATTTTGCTGTCTGGCCCCTACGCAAATGGACTCTTATCAAAACCAAATCCAACCCTGCGGGTGCTTAATCCAACCACAAGGGGATGGCGCGAATGGGTTTTTAATACAAATGCTACAAGCCAGAAAACCCAACCCGGAGCATTTGATTTGTGAGAGAACGGAAAATTGCTTCATCTCGTTAGCTGGCAGTGGGCAGGAGAGCAAGCCGATTGGCTGACGAGCTCCAATTGGTGATTAAATTAGAATCCCACGCTGGCACATCCTTTAAAGGACCCAGCCGGTCTTTTTTTTTTCTCCTCTCTCTCTCTTTAGGAAGGAGGAAGAGCCCGCAAGCCAGGCAGTGTTAGATAGCCAGGTTTCTCTGCTAGCCCGCCTCGGGAGCTCGGGATCCATGGGATTGTGCCTTGTTACTACTGCAGTGCATACATAGGCCAACCGGATTGCTAGCTTGGCTGGAGGTTGGAATGGCTCTTAAAGGGACATACATTTCGTGTTGTGCAGTATTAACAGATACAAGTTTTTCCATTCTTAGGGCAAAGGCTCTTTAATTTATCTTATAAAAGTTAACCAGTTCCGATTGATGGATCCGGAGCTTTAACACTACGTGCATCCCATGGAGCATCTCCCCCCGCGGGAAAGTTACCTTGCTCACAGGATGTGCCTGGGAGTCGCTACCTTTGGGCTGGAGCCTATGGGAATTAGGCACCCAAATCCCACTGAAACACAAGAGTTAGGTCCTTTTGAAAGTTTTACCCCTAAATCCTGTTGAAACCCAACATGACTGAGGTTCCTAAGTGACTTAGTCGCTTTTTGGAAAATTTTACCCTGGGTGTTTGAAGCCCTTAGGTTACTTCGTAAATCCCAGGCTTCAGCGCTGTCTATTCGGTACCAGGAGATGACACCAGCAGGAAAGGCAGCAGTGCCAGGTGCACATTGTGTGACGATCTTTAGTTGTGTCTAGTAAGCATTCACTGCAAAGGCTGCGCTCTGAAACCACCCGCACACACACGAGACTGCTCCTGGGGCCACCCACAACCACCAACAGCCGAGCACCCAAAGGCCTGGGCTGGGATTCCTCCAAAGGAGTCAGGCAACCAAATCCTACTGAGTGTTGGAGGAAGCAGGATAGAGAACTTCCTTAAATCCTTTGGCGAATGCCAGCTGTGCCAGCCACCAGGGCATTCCCATGACGTGCACAGCCGGGGCAAGAAATGGGCCGGGCAGCGTGTCCTGAAGGTCAGTAAATTAGGGTCACTTTGCACCAAGCTGTGGGGAGAGCTGCAACACCTACCAGAACTCCAAGAACCTACCCGCCCGCTTGCCTCCCCCCATGTGTTAATTCAGCTCGATGGACATTATTTCTATGGCGCACACCCCCGTCCCCTCACCATCTTTAGCATCTTTATCCTCAACACCCCTGGGCAGTGCTACTATCCCCATTGTACAGAACCGAGGGACAAAGCCTGGCTAGCCCTAAGTGACTTGCCCATGGTCACGCAGGAAGGTCAGTGGCAGAGGAGGGAACGGAAGCCAGGTCTCGAGCACCCGAAACACTGGATCATCCTTGTTCTCTAGATATCTGTTAATTACAACTCTGTGGCTTTGCTCTAAGGTCGTACAGTGCAAAGGCTTCCTGGGGGGCCTGGGGCAAGTCACTTTGGGCCAGTGTTTTAAAGGTATTCATGGACTTGGGTGCCTAGCTGCTTTTGAAAATTTCACGAGCAGCCACTTGCACCCTTAGGTGCCTAAATACCTTTAAAAACCTGCCTCTTCATCTTTCCCTGCCTCAGTTTCCCACCTGTAAAATGGGGATACTGAGCCTTCCTTTGTCTATTTAGCCTGTGGCCTTTTGGGGGCAGGGCCTGGCTCTCACAGGGCCTGTGTCTGTGCAGCAGCCGGCCCTGAGCTCAGCTGGGGCCCGGGGCCGGGACATGGTCATGACGATTAGCATGCAGCAGCCACTCACCTGGTGTGAAGAGGGCGATGGCCTTCAGGCAGCTGTATTCAGCAGAATCCACTTGCAGCCGGTTCAGTTTTTCCACCTGATCCTGAAATATCCGGATCTGGTCCATGAAGGACACCACGCGCTCCGCGGACATGGGGGAGGCGTGGAAGCCGGCCGCGGCCAGCAGGGGGGCCATGTGCAGCGGCAGTGCCGACTGCGCGGCATTGAGGACGAACAGCTCGCTCCAGCTCAGCCGCAGCAAGGCCACCTGGTCGGAGACCGGCAGTTCCGGGAAGAAAGGGATGTTCCGGGCCCACTCCACCGTGCTGAACAGCAGCCTGGCCGCCAGCTCGCAGATGTTGTCGATGCCCATCACGCTGCCCTGCTGGGCGTACTGCGAGCCGTAGCGGGCGGTCGGGTAGGGCTCCGCCCGGAGCAGCTGGGAGATGAGTTCCGAGACCGGCTGCCCGTTGTAATACTCCCCGCTGGGCATGGCGCTCGGGCTGGTGCTGGAGTGAGTGGGCGGGATCCTGCCTCTCTGGACAGCTGGAAAGGGAGCGAGAGAAGAGATCAGATCCCACGAGGCAGCAATGTCCCATGCGGTGGCTACCACCGCGACGCAGCAGCTGGGTCTACGCTGGGGCCGACGTCCCCGTCACAGAGGCCGCAAGTGGCTACCAAACGAGACGGTTGCTGTTATAAGCATTACGGTAGCGTCTAGAGGCCCCAGCAGAGATCAGGGCCTGGCAGGCCTGGAGCGGCATGGACTTGTATCCAATCCAGGACGGGCCCTGCCTCAGAGTCCAAGCAGGCAACGGGTGGGAGGGGAAACTGAGGCATAGAGCAGGGCAGTGTCTTGCCTGCGGTCACCCAGCGGTTCCGTGGCAGAGCCGGACTCCCAGAGCAATGCTCTGTCCGCTGGGCCTCATTAGAATCAGTTTGGACAGAACTGTAAACGCCTTGGGTAAGGACCGGGTTGCCAGCAGAGTGGGCGCCTAACACCTTCAGCTCCATAGCCCAGGCCTCAGAGCTCAAAGGGTCACTCCATTAACTGGTATCAGTAGCAGGTTGTTATCCAGCCCTTGGAGAGGTACATGACGCATACCTGGCCAGTTACACACACTAGAAATATTTATCTGAAAATAAGATAAACCTCCTTAGCACCTTGGTGATATCACCCCTCCCACACTGCCTAATTACTCCTAATGAGCTGTAAACTAATGCCTAACCCCAGAGATAAGCAACTGAGCTAAGGCCTATAGCCAAGGGCATTGAATGGCTCTGGCTGACAGATGCAGGGCCCCAAATCTCTTCTAGAGCATTTAAAGCTTTGGTGATAGGTCTGGTTTTAGCACAAGTGCTAGACCAAAAGCAAGGAGCATTGCTGGGGTTAAGGGCGAGGAGCCCCCAGAGACGAACAAGGAGATCAGCTCCACCTGGGGGCTTGCAAGAGGGTTAAAGGAAACCCAGGATCAATCTGCAGATAATCTTGGCCTCTGGGACAGCTGATTTCATCTCCATTAGCAGGCAGGATTCCAAACTGCACTAAGCCCAGGTTTCTAATCTCCAAGCAGTCACGTGAAGCTTCTAATTCTTTCCCCTCCCCATTTTGCTCTATAGTGAGATGACGGCTAGCCAAGGTCATTTCTCTGCAATGGAAACATACATCTTCAGTGAACTTGTTAACCCTGGAGGTGCTCCTCTTCCTAACTGCATGCTAAGAAAGCTATTTTTCAGCTCCCGTTAGCATCCACTGTTTGCTCGGCCCCCAGTAATTAATTTATGGGCTGTTCTTGCAGCACTTAAATTAGAGCTCTAAATCATCGTAAGTGACAACAATGCTGTCCCGACTCGCCTGGAAGGAGGAAATTATGTCCTGCTCCTAATATCTCTTTCCTGTGCTATTTACATTTCTACCACCGCCTGTGGGGCAGCAAATACGCTCTGGCTAGCCGAACCACAGAGGGATCCCACCGCCCTCAATCTTTGCCCGCAGCAAGGTGGAATCCGCCCAGAACAATGGTTGTGATTTTCAAGCTTGAGTACTTAAAAGTTAGGGGCCTAAATCCATACTTAGGCAGCTTAAATACTACTGCCTAGTACTTTACATGAGTAGAGCTCAAAGTGCGTCACATGGAGAAACTGAGGCACGGGGAGGGGAAAGGACTTGCCCAAGGTCACCCAGCAGACCAGTGGCAGAGTCAGGAAGAGAGAACCTAGATCTCCTGAGTCCCAGCCCAGTGCGCACTGAGCGAATCCCACTGGGCTCAGCGGAGCACCGTCACAAACCAGGATGCTTGTCTAAGCATCCAACTTTACACAGCTAAGTGGCAAGTGCTGGACCCTTTCTAGTGGGAATAGCCTGGGGAGTCTTGTCATGAGCATCAAGAATGGACTTCGGTCCCACAAAAGTAGCTGAAACTCCCCCACCCCCAACTTCCAGCCTGGGGAGATCCAAGCATTTGAAGCTTGCAAGACAGGCCAGCATGGGCACTTCACTCACCCGTCCAGTTGTTGGGTCAGATCCCCGGAGGGGCCACACCCATTTACACCGGCAGAGGATCTGTCCTGTGGCCCCGATTCACGTAAGCAGGGTAAATGACTCAAGCGTGTGCGTAAGTGTTTTGCTAACTCGGGGCCTAAATCTGTTACCTTGAGCACAGCCTGAAATCTACTGAGTGTCGCTGCACACGGGGGCCCGGCACACGGCTGCTCTCGCAATGTTAACAGATATCACGCATGTGACTTTACTGGCAAGCATGGAGCCTTAAGTCATGACAGACAACACGCGCCTTGTCTCCAAGCCTTTTGCCTACGCTGACAACCCACAGACATGGGGAGGGAAGGGATGCCGTGGAAAAGGAAAGCGAGCGCAAGCAGTTGCGTTAGGCAGGAGGTGTGAATTTCATGGGGGCCTGGCACCTCTGAAAATCAGATGTAATGGGTTCCCTCCGGATTTATGCCAGCTGGGAATCTGGCCAGCAGAGGCACCCAACCTTACTGAATGCCAGCGGAAACATGGCTCTGAGCATCGAAGAGCTTCAGTAGAGGAGCGAAGAATTTCTTGTTCCTCTCGTTCTAGTCCCAGCAGCCCCTGGCCTGCTGGGAGACCTTGGGGATGTCACTGCCCCGCTCTGTGCCTCGGTTTCCCCATTTCACAGAGGGGGTGAATGATCCTGACCTCCCACGTAAAGCACTTTGATGTCCAGAGATGAAAAGTGCTAGAGAAGAAGTAGAGACTATTAAATACAAATACCGCCTGACATCAAGCAAAGAGCGAGTGGTGAATTTAAAACTCACGTCTCCTTTGTCTGCTAAACTCTGTTCATGCTGTTACCTGTCCTTCCCCCACCCTGCCTCTCATCACATCCTCTCTGACACCTCATGCCCCAGCCTTGCACCTTGTGGTCTGACGCCAAGACAAATTGGGTGTGAAATGCCACTGAGGAACATCCATAGTGTTTAACTAGCATTTCGCTGGCGTCATGGCACAAGGAGCAGGGTGGCTGGGGAATCTGGGATAGGGCCTGTGGTCTTCGTTGGTTTGTATGGCACCTCCCACAATAGAGCTTTGATCCCTGATGGGAGTTCGCACTTGCTACTCTAAGTAGGTCTCTAGTGTCCTAGGTTCCCCTCGTGCAACTCACTCTGCCAGCACCTCCGCTCAAAACCCGTGTCAGCTCGTCCCAGCACGACTGTTTCTGGTCAGTCCCTTCCCAAGCAACCCCCAAGGCCCCAGTGAAACCTTGCAGCTAGCCACCCTGCCCGGCCAGCTCTGCTCTCAGACCTCATGGAGCAACAATGGCAGAGCCCCTCTGAAAAATCAGGCCACCTGGGTCTCAAGTCGAGCACCCTGAATGAGTGGCCACTTCTGAAAACTCTGGCCTGAACTTTTTTGTTCAAATGAAGATTGCGAACCTAGGAATGGCCAGACTGGATCAGACCCATGGTCCATTTCGTCCAGTAGCTTCCGACAATGGCCAAAACAAGCTGCTTCAAAGGAAGGCACAAGAACCCCTGCAGTGGACAGTTATGGGATAATCTGGGGAAATTCCTTCCTGACCTCCGTTGGTTTCTGCCCTGAAGCATGAGGATTTATAGCCACTCCAAAGCTCTTGGTTATTTTTAAGCCTTCCTATAACACCTTTGGATATTCTCATTCTCCACAGAATGTTCTGTCTCAGTTAAAAACCACTCGGCTCCATTCTGAGCATCAGCGCTATCTTATGGCAATGAGTGCCACCAGCCAATGGCGTGTTGTGGGAAAGGGTTTGCTAAGCTTGCCACTGACTGGCTCCTTGACTGCGCATGAAGACACAGCAGAGGAGTTCCTGATCGAAGCTGTGTTAAGGGGAGGAGAGAGGGTGCTGAGCCACGAGGATTCCTCTGCTTTCCAGCTCTGGAAAGTTGGGAAACGGACTCAAGAAATGCTTTAAAATGTTCTGGGTTCTACTCTCAATGCAACACAATGCCCAAGATAAAGAGAACAGCCGCCAACGCCATCTGCTGTGCCATACACGCACCCCCCCGCCCTGATACACTGCCATAGAAATTTGCATAACTGAGTCAATATTGGAACTGCAAAGGATTATTCTAAGTTTGTCTTGGTTTCCATCTGCGACCTTTAAAGCTGCTAGGTCAGGTGGTCTGGTACAAGGCTCCAGGTGAGTCACCGAATCTAGCCAAGGCTTTGGCTTTCCAAACACACACCACCTGTCGGACTGGTATGCGATCCGCCCAAGGGCAGACTGAAATAGCAGAAATGGCTTTGTATTCTGCCTGGAGACGGGGATTTCACTGTGACAATAATGGCTGCTCCCAGATACCACAATCAGCCCAGGGATTTCCTGGCCAGTTCGCTCCACAAGACCTTGTGGTAAGGGCCAGATCCTCAACTGTGTTTCCTTGGTGCGATTCCGCTGACTTCAAAGGAGTCTTGCTGGCATCAAACCAGCAGAAAGGTATTCGCTCAGTCTCTCCAACTGCAGTCCCTGGCATGTAACCAAAGATACATGGGGGCAAAATCCTCAACTGGTATAAATTGTAGAGGGTGGAATGTAACTTACTAAAAGAAGCAACCGGAAGTTCCTGACTCCCCTAACCCATCCACCCCCAGGGCTGGTTTTAACGCAGATTAAAAAGCTAACCCTATTTCCCAGAGGCCCCAGTTCTGCTCCCGCCGGCACAAAGCAGGAGGCATTCCACTGCACCCATGCGAAGCTGGGGCAAGAGAGAGGAGATCAGGCATGGAGTTTCTAATCCTCCCTAGAACATGTCCAGTCACATCTTGGGGAAGCGCTTGGGATTTACAGGCCATTTGGCTGGGCCTCAGCTTTGGGATCTGATCCAGCAACAATCTCCTCTGCTGTAGCATTTACTCACCTGGTTTTCTAGGCAGCTGGTGAGCAGCGTTTACTAGTTCTAAAAGCCAAACAAAAGGAAAATCTGCAGCCACTCTGTCCGAGGCAGGGCATGTTGCATTTTGGGGGGATTGCTCACCCCCTTCTCAAGAGGCACTGGTTCGGATTGCGACCCCGTCAGAGCTCTGGAGGCTCAGCTCCTGGGGGGGCTAAAGGTGGGAATTTATACCACCTTTGCACCTCCTAGGTTGTGGGGATGCTGGGATCCTTTTGAAAACTCGCTCAAACTAGAGCGGCCCCGGGCACTGCTCTGACGGTTGCCCTGGCTCCAATGGTCCCGGCCTAGAGGCCAGAATAGCTGGATTGCAGAGTGCCTGCTCCTTCCTGGAACATGCCCGTAGGCTGGGGGCTGCTGTGGGAAGCAGGACAGGGCCATTACACTGGTCCTACCCCAGCAGGCAATCCCCTTTGTGGCAGGGGTAGCCCCGGTCGGGGAGGTGTGGCTGATTCCTAGCCCCTTCCTGACATTGGAGGAGTTTAGTTTAGTTGCTGGGAGCAGCCAGTGTTTAAAAATACTGGGGGAGGTTTTCAAAGGCAGAGACAAGCGTTAGGCACTCAAATCCCACGGATGTCCACTGGGAGTTGGGCACCTAGCTGCCCTCTGTGCTTTGAAAACAACCCATCCGGGAGGCATGTAACTGACCGCCCATGGTGCTGGTCCATGCAGAAGATGGCTGGAATTTTCAAAGGGCCCTATTGACTGTCTGGTCTCCCCTGGAACTTCAGTGGGTTTTGGAAGCCTAAAGCCTCAATAAAATCCCAGCCAATAGTTCCGGCACAGTCACGTCTCCATGCTGGGTAACTACCAGCCTGCCTCCTTGTTTCCAAGCAACAGCAGTTCAAGAACTGGCATTCCAGCTGGTCCGGAGCAGCGCTCTCACTCATGCCCCTAGGGCCTGGCTTTCCAGAGAGCTCGGTTTCCACTAGGCATCAACCCAAGCGGCTGGGTTTTCAAGAATGCTCACTGGCTGTGGAGGTCTCTTGGAAATCTGGCCAGCAGCGTCACAATGGGAGCCGCTGGGGGCTGAGACCTCTCGCAAATCTGGGCCTCATTACGATGCCTAAATGGGAGCCGAGCTCTTCTGAAAAGCCGGCCCCAAGAGCCCAAAGGTGCGTGGATCCTGTAGCACCAATGCACGTTGGGAAGGACAGACCTAGATATACTCTGCCCGGTTTCTCACAGGGCCTTTTCATTGGCCACAGGTTATCGGCATAAGATAGAGCAGCTCAGAGGTTGCTCTAAGTTGCATCCCCTTGCTCTGGTCTCTAGGGGTACAGCCACCCTGCAGCTGGGAGCGAGCCAGGTCAACAGGCTGAGCAGCCCAGCTCCGGCCCCAGGGCTCACAGGCAGGCTCGTACTCTAGCAGCCACCCATGCGGCAACGTCCAGGCTGCATGTCTATCTACCCCCGGGGACACGTGCCAACTGGGCATCAGCGTGGCACCGCTCCATCCCACGCCCCCTGCGGCCCTGTTTGAGTGGGAGGCATTTGACACAGGAGCCAGCTACACCTCTCACACGCACTGGGGAATGCTCGGCTGGCTAGCGAGTGCCCGAGTCCACCATTCGCGGAAGGGTTTTTTGGCGGAACGGCGGACCACGTTACCTTCTTTCCTCATGCCCACACGGAAGCACTTCTTCAGGCGGCAGAACTGGCACTGGTTGCGGTGATGCTGGTCAATCTGACAGTCTCGGCTCGACCTGTGTGCAAATCAGACAACACCACGCCATTGCACGGGGGCAGGAAAGCGCTGGCCCGAGAGGGGAAGTGTGTTTTCTGAGTTAAGTACTGGGGAGGAGAGAAGGAGGAGAGGACACGAGACGAGGGTTCAACTCACAGACTCCTTTGTGGGACCTCGGGCAGGTCACGTTATCCCTCTGTGCCTCAGTTTCCCTGTCCAATGGAGAGAAGAGTGCCCTGCCACACCGGGGAGGGGCCTGGGAGGCTAAATACATTAGAGATTTGGAAAGGCCCAGATACTCCAGGAATGGGAGCCTGAGGAGTACTTTAGAGAGACAGACTGGGCAGAGCGTTGCATTGTATTAGTGCTGGGCCTAGAGGCCTCAACAGAACCCGGGACTCCGTTGCGCCAGGCACTGCACACTTTGCCTTGCTGTCCGTGACCCTGCTTCGCCAAACAGCTCTCCTGGGGAACAAGAGCTGCCCCCAGTTGCTGCGACCCCTGGATGAAAGTCACCCCCAGGCAGAGGCCCAGCACTCGGCCTAGACCCCCCTGAAGCAAAGTATTTTAATTCAGGATGGCGCTGCCTGGCACGGGGCTATGCATAAGCACTCAAGTGCTTTCCCAGAATCGGGGCCCGAGAGCTAGTCTGTGGGCTGGCCCATCTGCACAGGGTGAACTATGCCCAGGATCCACTGCTGAGGAAAGGGTCTAGTCCCCACCCTGCAAGAGCTGCTCTCCCACACTGCTCTGCCTTCCCAGCACTAAGGAGGGGGCAGCGGTGCTTAAACTGAAAACAGCTGAGCCAGCCTTCCTTTTGTTCCCAGCCCCTTTCACCAGGAGCTTGAAGAATTCCAACTATTTCCTATGAGAACATTTCAGCCCTTTCCAGGCAGCCGAGGGGAAGGGGTCACTTCTCTTCCCAGTGCACACAACTCATTTACCTGCCCTGCTAAGTAAACAGCAGCAGGGCGGGAATAATCCCAGCCCCATTAAAGCGTGTTGATTGCTTTCCCAGGTACTAAGCACTTACAGATTTACTTCCATGGGTCTCATGTTCAGCTCTGCCTAAGGCCTTGTCGACATGGGCCATTTGCCTGGCTTCGCGGGGGGCAAACCTCTAGGGTAGGCAGGGTAAAATCATTATCTGCCCCTGTGCAATTGTGACTCCACTTTGGAGAAGGGGCTAATGCTGAAGGCACAATGCCAACCCCTCTGAAGTCGGCGGCAAAAGTCTCCGGGCCAGATCCTGAACTGTCGGCGCCCCACTGAAATCAGTGCAGAGCCAGTTCACGATCTGGCCCCCCCACGCCGTCTTCAGCGGGGGCCCACCACCGCAAACACCACGTCTGCACCAGCGCTGCTAGACTGAAAAAACGGGCACGTCCCACGGAGACCAGGCCTGGGTGACAAAAGCTAAGAGTCAGCAGTTCACCCGCCTGCTGCTGCCCCCCCACCCCCCCGTTTACCCAGCTTGCTGCAGAATCAGTACCCCCAAACCAGCCAGTCTCTGGGGGACGACCAGTGCTTACCCGTTCCCCCTCTGCTCCTTTGAAATGGACCGAGCGTGGCATTAGACAACACACTGCCCCTCTGCTAGTGTTCCTGGTAGAGGGGGTGGCACCCAATATTTGGTAGGCTCTGCAAATGCCTGGTCCCTGCCCCCAAGAGCTTCCAGCGTAAGCAGACAGAGAACGAAATGAAACACATGAGCAACAGGGGACTGGCTTCTGGGTCGTTTAGCAGATGGACTGTGCAGACCTAGGGCGATCCTCAGCTGGCGTGACTCCGTCTAACTCCACTGGCTTCAAGACAGCTGTGTGTCTTGCACCAGTTGAGGATCTGGGCCTGAGGGAGCTTTGAGGGGAAGGTCACCTGGGGTGGCGGGGGATGAATGGTGGAAAGAGTGTCTGGGTAAGGGAGGGGACGCAAGGAAGAGGAAGAGTGAAGGATGGGGGGGGGGTGGAACGGATAGCTCAGTGCTTTGAGCCTTGGCCTGCTAAACCCAGGGTTGTGAGTTCAATCCTTGAGGGGGCCATTTAGGGATCTGGGGCAAAAATTGGGGATTGGTCCTGCTTTGAGCAGGGGGTTGGACTAGATGACCTCCTAAGGTCCCTTCCAACCCTGATATTCTATGATTCTATGATCTGAGGAGGGATGAGAGAAGGCTCAGTGGAGAACCGTGCAGAGCCAGGAGTAACAATGCTTTCAAGCACTATGGGCCCAATCGTGAGCCTCTTTCTGCAGCTAGGAGTAGGCCCATGACAGTCACCGTGCTCGAGCGGGGGTAAGGGTCTCCCAACCCAGCCCACAGCTTCCAAACCCACCCAGATGCTTTCCGGCAGCCATGATCGATTTTACAGACTGTACGGAGAGGTAAGTGACTCGGCAGGGACGCTCTGATAGTGAAGGGCGGTTGAGGCAGAGCAGAGGTGGGGAACCAAGCTACCAGCCCTGGTCCTGTCTTCACAGGCTCTTCTCCTGGCCCAGCACATGTTCAAACAAGGATGAGAGAGAGAAAACGTATCCCCATCCTCGCCACTTTGGGCCTTGCATTTTGGATCAACGCCAGACAAGATGTGAATAGGAAAAACCAGCACAGAAGTAAATAGACAGGACCCATAACTAACCGCCCCCGCTGCTCTGATCAGGAGTGATTAAAAACAATGGTAAATACTAATAATTCAGGGGTCCTAAGCCCCATCACAGCCTTCAGTCCCGATTCTGAAAAGCGTCTAAGCCTGCTATGAAATTCTATCGACTCCAAGGAGACTTGCACACATTAAGTGTTTTGATGTATAGGGATAAGCAGATTCACATGCTTAAAGTTAAGCACATGCTCAAGTGTTATGCCGAACTCCTCTTCCTGGCTTTGATTCAGCAAAATGTAGCATCCCGTGTCTCTTGAGCGCTGCGGCCCTTTTCTGTGTGCTCAAACCCCGTTTGCCATCACATTCATGGTATGAGAAGCATGTTCTCACAGTCAGAGATGTGAAGCAATGGATGTTAGGGGTCAAAAAACAGGGTTTTGTTCTCCGAAGAGCGAAGGCTATCCGGAGAGTCTCTCCAGGATCCAAACCCAGCACACACACGGCAGTCAGCTAGAACAGAAGCTGCATTGCCCCGGTGTCTGGAATCGTGGGCCTTCGTCAGCCAGAGATGTTTACTGCCCAGCTCACTACTTAACGCAATGTGCTGTTTTATTTAAGAGATGTAAATGGCGGGGTGGGAAGGAGGCTTTAACGTACTCCCAAAATCTGATCCTGTGCATTTAGGATGAGTTCCCGCCCCGGTTCTCAAATAATTTTGCACATTGCTACCTCGAGCTTTGTTCCTGCGTAAGTAGGACATGGCAGTCGCCCCTTTGGGGCATGATTTTCATAAGGGCTCTGCTCCCATTTAGGCAGTAAAATAAGCAACCAAATTTTCTAAGACGCTCGGCGCACTGGGTGCAGAGGACTTTTGAACAAAAATGGCTGGAAGTGTCACAACAGGAGCAGCTGGGTGCTGAGCCCTTTGGAAAATCTGCCCCCACTGTGGGCGCTGAATGTTTGAGAATTTTCCCCTTCGTTTGTCAAGAGGGACGAGGGATAGACCTGAGGATGGAATAAAAGCATGCAAATGAAGCAGAGGATTGGTTCGGACTTTATATTTGCAAGGGGACCACTAGTAAAATAATGCATGATCAAGTGAAAGGCTGGGGGGGAATGTAAACCATGCACGGTGGCCAGTCAACCTGCAAAGAAATCCCACCCGTTGCGGGCATGAGTGAAAGCATTTGGTTATACCTTGGAATCCTGACACGAATATCCTAATTTTTACATGACTCCAGAGAAGAGCCACGTACGATTCGACAACTGTTCATACTGGAATTAATTTACCCTGAACCTCACCACTGTGTTTAACACATTTAAAATGTGTTGCTGATCAAAAGTTATTCTAGTGGAGAAGCGATAAATCTAAACATCAGATGACATCTTCACCCCAGGGCTCCGTTACAGCGGTTTGGGCTGGAGCATGAGAAACTGTTTGTATCACAAATTCTTGTGTAAAGAGGGCCAGAAATTCACTACAGACAAACCGGGCTATGATTAGTGCTTTTGGTCCAATTCCATTCAGACAGCCCAGGCCAAAACCTGAGCTTCATAGAGCGAAACTGACCTCTACCAGCTGAGAATCCAGGCCTTGAGTTACAGTAAGGGCCAAAATATATATTTTTTAAAAAGGAAATCACTTTTTATGTTATTTTAAAACTTAAATAGTTGTATTTAAAGCCAAGAGTTCTTAGCAAGTTCTCCTAGACACACTGTAGCTATACAGGAAAATGTGAGAACATAGGAGGTGTGTATGGTGCAAATTATGTAATTAGGACAGGTCATTATTTAGTACAAGAACTAAACTGCATTCAGCTCAGTTTTTAAAATTCAAATTAGAGCAATTTTGGCTTGATGTCGCTGTGAATCCTTTAAGGAAGCCCACTACAGGACTGCCTGAGGAAAGCATTGCCTATGTCCTCACTTAGGAACTGCGTACTAAGAAACTATGTTTTTATTTCATCCTACATTCCTCTGAGCGCAAAGCGAATATGCTCACCCCTGAATACATGCTCTGACCAAAGAGGCGAAAAAATACATTTACAGACGTGAAGGTCTAGCTGGAACGATGTGCTACTTTTCTCAATACATTTGTACCTAACTACTAAGCAACAACAGACATCTATCTTCTTTCTTTGCAAAAACAAACATTCTTTGCATTTGTCGTTTGTCCCCTCTGTAATTCAGAATGCTGGTACTTTCAGTAGGATACATATATCCAGTCTTCAAGTAACAAGAATACCTAGCTCTTGAATCTAGTGCTTTTCACCAGTAGATCTCAAAGCACTTTACAAAGTAGGTAAGCATCATTATCACGATTTGGGGAAACAGGGGCACAGGATGGTGATATAGCAAAGGTTCACTGAATGTGTTGTGCCCACAGGCCCAGAATTCATAGCGGTGGCAACATACAGAAGGTTTTTAGGATATCGCAACCTTTCAAAACGCAAAGTGCAGGGGACAAAAAACATTGCACAAAGTTTAACAGCTGCAGGATTAATTTCATGCACACAAGGTTCATAAGGTCAGTTTCACATGGCAGTATTTCTGCTGTTAAGAACTGAGGATAAAGAGGAAATCAAGCTCACCCCCACATAAGAGGAGATACGGAACAGGACATAGGGGAGTTTGAATCTGGGCCAGGCGAACTGAGAGCAGAGTGAAAAGGAGTACTTGTGGCACCTTAAAGACTACCCAATTTAGTCTCTAAGGTGCCACTAGTCCTCCTTTTCTTTTGCGAATACAGACTAACACGGCTGCTACTCTGAAACCTGAGAGCAGAGTGGGTCAGAAACTGCAAGATAAATACAGCAGCAAAACTTGCTCTTTGATCAGGTTTGAGTCTCATGACTTCCACCATGACCAGGGCTGTGAATGATTATTTCTGTTAACATAGGCACTCAGATACAAAACTGAGGAAATCATTTGTGTACCCAGGCTGGTTCGTAGCCAATCTTATGGAATCTACTGGTTTGGCAAGTACCGTTATGCAAAATTTGATTTGCAAGAATGCCTAGGGCTTGTTACAGTACCATACATGCATGTGAACCTAGATCTTCCTTGTGTTTACTTCTCTGCCTTGAAAAATATTTTTCTTCTAAGAGGGGTCAAGGCCACTGACCAGTTACGGCACCCCTATTGATTTTAAGAGTTACTCCTGATCTGCACCAGAGCGAGAGGAGAATTGAGCTCCGTAACACATTAGGATTTGTGCTTTTGGTTCCAATTAGTCGCCACAACAAGTTTTTTAAAAGGCTGCTCTCTGCTGAGGCGCTGGGGAACATAATGATTCATAACAACAACGGCTGCACGTTTGCAGAGAACCCTACAGCCATGAATTAATTAGCTGCCACACTGGCTGGAGAGGGGAAATCTAACCACAAGGAAGAGCCTGCAACGGCACCCCGCACCGCACCGTGTGTCATCACCGGCACTGGTTCAAGGGACCACATGAGAGGCCAGGAACAGGACCCATTTTGCACTGGGGTAAATGGCTGCACAAGGGGCAGGCCTGGGGCAAGGGAGGTTGTTGGAATCTCCCTCATTGCCTAACCTGCTCTTAAAACCCCCGAACACCTGTCAGGGACAGGGTCTAGATAGTACTTAGCAGGGCAGGGACTGCACTAGATGACCTCTCGAGGTCCCTTCCAGGCCTACGATTCTCTGATTCTAGCAGTCGAATCCAAGCAGGCCCCAGGCAGGCATCCAGGTGAGCCCCTACCTGCAGGTGTAACTCAGGTTCCTCCGGATGCTCCGCTTAAAGAAGCTCTTGCAGCCCTCGCAGGTGAAGACCCCGTAGTGCTTCCCGCTGGACTTGTCCCCGCACACGGTGCAGTCCACCTGGATGCCCGGCTTGTCCTCGTCCCCGTGCTCCTGGTCGCTCACCCCACCTTGGGGCGACACCGAGTCCTCTTCGGAGGTCCTGGGGTAACCCTTGTCCACCCCGTTGGTGTCTCCGTTCGGGTCTCCCCAGCCTCCAGCCACCATGGCCATATCTCCGTGGGGCAGCCCGAGGAAACAGCGACGCCTTCCAATGGGAAAAACAAATCAGCGGGGCGGGCGGGGGGGGGAGGAATAGAGCTAAAACGAGCGAGTTACTGGTTATTTGGCGCAGGGGGGTAACTCCGGCCTGGTCTAGCCGCCCGGCTCCGGGCTGTGACCCTCAACCCGCGCCGTTAGTCCGTGGGGCTGCGCTGGGGCAGGAGGGCTGAAAATTCCAGAGACGCAGGCTGGGCCCGAGCCCCTTTACTCTGCCCCCCAAGCCGAGCTCGGCCAGCCCCACCTGGGGAGCAGCCGGCGCCGGAAAAACAAGTCCAACAAGTTTTGGCCAGCCAGGGGCGGGTGCGCGGGGGCTCGCCAGGCGCAGGTCCGGGCGGCGCGCAGGGCAGCGCGCAGAGGGCGGCTAAGGGCGCATCCCCCCGCCGGCCCCGGGGCACGGGCGAGCCGACGCGCCGCTGCCCCGGCCGGAGTCTTCGCCAGAAGCCGAGCGCCCCGCGGAGCCGGGTCCCCGCAGGGCTGGGGCGCGCCCGCCCCGCCGCGATCGGCCCCTACGCGGCCCCCCGCCGCCGGTGCTGCGTCCACATCGCGGGTGGCGCGGCCGGCAACCCCCGCTCCGCCGCCTGCTGCTGCGGGGCTGGAGCCACCGGGCCCCTCCGCCGGCCTCCCCGAAGAGCAGGGCTCAGCCGCCGCCGCGATGCTCCTCCTCCCCGGCGGTCCTCCTCCCCTTCCGCTGCCTCCTCGGGACCGCCCCCGCCCGGCCCCTTCCCGCCCCCGGCTGCCCTTCGTCCTCCTCTTCCCCTTCCCTAGCACCGGGCCGCCCGCCCGCCCCCTTCCTTCTCTTCCCTCTTCCACCCACCTGCCTGCCTCCCTCCCCCCCTTCGTCCTCCTCTTCCCCTTCCCTCCCTAGCACCGGCCGCCTCCCTCCTTCTCTTCTCCCTTCCCTCCTTCCACCTTCCCCAGCACCGGGCCGCCCGCCCACCCCTTCCTTCTCTTCCCTCTTCCACCCACCTGCCTGCCTCCCTCCCCCCTTCTCCTCCTCTTCCCCTTCCCTCCCTACACCCCCCTCCCTCCTTCTCTTCTCCCTTCCCTCCTTCCACCTTCCCCCCTTCGTCCTCCTCTTCCCCTTCCCTAGCACCGGGCCGCCCGCCCGCCCCCTTCCTTCTCTTCCCTCTTCCACCCACCTGCCTGCCTCCCTCCCCCCTTCGTCCTCCTCTTCCCCTTCCCTCCCTAGCACCGGCCGCCTCCCTCCTTCTCTTCTCCCTTCCCTCCTTCCACCTTCCCCAGCACCGGGCCGCCCGCCCGACCCCTTCCTTCTCTTCCCTCTTCCACCCACCTGCCTGCCTCCCTCGCCCCCTTCGTCCTCCTCTTCCCCTTCCCTAGCACCGGGCCGCCCGCCTGCCCCCTTCCTTCTCTTCCCTCTTCCACCCACCTGCCTGCCTCCCTCCCCCCTTCGTCCTCCTCTTCCCCTTCCCTCCCTAGCACCGGCCGCCTCCTTCCTTCCCCCCTTCATCCTTCTCTTCTCCCTTCCCTCCTTCCACCTTCCCCCCTTCGTCCTCCTCTTCCCCTTCCCTCCTTCCTTCCCTAGCACCGGCTGCCTCCCTCCCTCCCCCCTTCATCCTTCTCCTCTCCCTTCTCTCCTTCCACCCTCCCCCCTTTGTCCTACTCTTCTCCTTCCCTCCTTAGCACTGGCCGCCTCCCTCCCCCCTTCATCCTTCTCTTCCCCCCACCCGCCTCCCTCTCCCCTTCCTCGTCCTCTTCTCCTTCCTTCCCTAGCACCAGGCCACCCATCCACCTCCCTCCTTCCATCTCTTCCCTCCTTCCACCCACCCGCCTCCTTCCCCCCTTCATCCTCCTCTTCCCCTTTCCCATCTTCCACCCACCTGCCTCCCTCCCTCCCTCCTTCCCTAGCACCGGCCCACCTCCCTCCCCCCCTCCTTCCCCCTCATCCTTCTCTTCCCCCTTCCCTAGCACCGGCCCACCTCCTTCCCCCCCTCCTTCCCCCTCATCCTTCTCTTCCCCCTTCCCTCCCTCACCTCCCTCCCCCCCTCCTTCCCTAGCACCCCCCATCTCCCTCCCTCTTTTCCCCCTTTGTCCTCCTCTTCCCTCCCCAGCACCCTCCCATCTCCCTCCCTCCCCTCTTCTTTCCCCCCTTTGTCCTCCTCTTCTCCTTCCCCCTTCCCTAGCACCGGCCCACCTCCCTCCTTCCCCCCTTCATCCTTCTCTTCCCCCTTCCCTCCTTCCACCCACCCGCCCTTCCCTAGCACCCACCATCTCCCTCCCTCCTTTTCCCCCTTCCCTCCCCCCTCCCTTCCCTAGCACCTGCCTGACTCCCTCCCTCCCCCTTTGCCCTTCTCTTCCCCCTTCCCTCACACCCGTCTCCCTCCCCCTTCATCCTTTCCTAACACCCACCCACCTCCCTCCCTCTTCATCCTTCTCTTCCACCTTCCTTGGAACCCACCTCTCCCTTCCTTCCTTCCTTCCTTCCTCCCTCCCCCCTTTATCCTTCTCTTCCCCTTCCTGTCTTCCCTAGCACCTCCACCAAGTCTCTCTTAGGGTTTGGGGCCTGCCCCAAGGGGAGCCAGCACCCGAGGGCAGGAGGAGATATTGGAGTCCCAGGCTCTGAGAGGAAGCAGTGGATCCCCCGGTGCCAGGCGCACACCCCTGCCCTAGTGCCAGGCACATGCCCCTTCCCCAGATCTAACAGCTGCCTCTGGAGTCTCTGGGGACTGGCCCCAGCCCAGTGACCAGGGCAGGCGCTGCGGACCTTTGTCAGCTTGGCCCAGGGCAGCCGCCCCGCAGCTTCCCCTCTGCACTAGGTTTCTCTTCCAGGAGCCCTTCTGCCTGCCCCCTGGGCTCACCCCAGGCTCCACCAGCTGCCACTGCACTCCTCACCCTCAGGCCCCTGCTCCCCATGGGGCCCCTTGCCCTCCCGGCCCTGCGCTCCCCACTCAGGGTCCCTTCCCCTGCAGTGTGTGATATGAACGTGCACGGCTGCTCTCCAGAGCTTGCTTTGCAATCCTCTGTGTTTCAGTTTCCCTGCCAGTCAGCAGCCCCTCTGCTTGCCCGGCTGCTGGCAGCCCTGTTTGCTTTCCCAGCCGTCCCCGCCAGATAACAGGAGCCATTTACAGCATCTCCAGTCTGCTTCCCAGTGGGCCTTGCAGAACATTAAACCAGCTGCGCATTCCTGAAAGGCCTGCAGATAAGGAGGGTGGCAGAGGCCATGACAGGAGCAGGGAAGGTTCAGGGTGCAGCACTTCCTGCTCTGGCTGTTTGTCCGGTGTTACAAAACGTCCAGGGATGGCAAAAATCTCCCCTCCACGGGCTCATACCCAGGCACCCCGTGATTGTCAACCTGGGGGCAGGGGAGTTGGGAACACTCAACCCCCAGCATGTGCCCCACTACAGCAAATTAACCTGAGGAGCACTAATACTATCCAAGGGCCTGGCTTTACAGTGATCTCTGCGCAGCACAGTGTTACTCCTGCATGCACAGAATTTATGTCCCCCGCAGATTTCTTTGCTTCCCCCCTCCCACTTCCTGCACCCATCAGTCCTCAGCTGCAGGGAGAGGGATCACTGTGCAGGGAGCTGCTCCGCCATCTCCCAACCACCGTGCATCCAGACCCGCCCATCGAGCCCCACTCCCCGTGCACCTAGACCACCCTGGTGAGCCACCCGCATCTGGATCCCCACCCCACTGAGCCCCAACCACCTTCACCTAGGCCCCCCTGCAGAGTCCAATTACCACGGCAACCAGAACTGCCCCCACCCCCAACATGCCACTGCACATCCAAATCCCTCCTGCACCTGGATTCCCCCACTGAGCCAGCCAGACCCAAATTACCGCACACAGAACTCTCTCAACCCACACCTGGATCCCTCCACACTTGGATCCAGCCTTCCTGAGCCTGGCTGCCCACACCTCGCATGGAGGGGCAGGGCCCTGGGGTGTTTCTGGGGCAGGCCCTGTCCTTGCGCTGTGTCAAGGTTGGGTACAGTTTCACCGCTGAGTCCCACCTCCATGCAGCCAGTGGCCTGTACTCCCCAATGCCAAGCAGGAGCCTTCACATTTATTTGACAAATAAGATTTGCAGAATTAAAAATTCTGCACACAATATTTTAAAGTCTTTTGGTGCAGAATGCCCTCAGGAGTAACAGCGAGGCCCTGTCACCTTCACCACAGCAGCGGGGCTTGAACTCATTCTCCTGTTCCAAATGCACAGGCCCCTTGAGCTAAGGGAGAATCTCTATTGGCTAAATGCAGTATAGGGTTAATGTCACACAGAGCGTGTCCACCCTGCAACTGGGAGGTGTGACTGCAGCATGTGTAAATGTACCTGAGCTGGATCAGGGGGTAGGTCTACACATACTGCAATCACACCTCCGCTGCCGTGTATTCAGACCAAAAGCTGAGCAGTTCTGGTTGCATCCTGTAGAAGATAGTTGTTACATGTACCCACACTATTATAGTGGCATCTAGAGGCCATACCCAAAGCTAGGCACTGTACATGCACCAGTACGAAACGCTCCCTGCTCCAACCAGGCTATGATACAGACGCAAGGCATGGGAAAGGGAGGATTATTCTTCCCATTTTATGGATGGGGAAATGGAGGCGCAGAAAGACAAAGTGACTTGCCCAGGGTCAAACAGGGAGTCTGGCAGAGTTGAACCTAAGCCTCCTGAGTCCCCCCCACCCTGTGCCCAAGGCCACCCTTCCTCTCTTATAGTTTAACTTTACCCCTTTACTGAATACAGCAATTCTTTCCCCAAAGTACTTCCCGCACTGTACTGGTCACTCACTATTACCCTAGGACTGTGAAATGTGATGCTCGTGCATTCAGTGTGGGCTTCTGTTGACAGGGTGGGACAAGGACCCCAAATTGAAATGGGACATATATATTCTAGGTCACTGAAAGGTCATCAGCTTACACAAAGGATATTAACGGCACTTGTGGACTGGTCACCCCGAAGAGAAGGCCTCCAGTTTGGAGGAATTAGTTCTGTGTAGCGAACTGCAGCTGGAGGCATGGCCAAAGGTGAACTGTCTAACCAAAGGTGAACAGTTTCTGATAGTCCAGCCATTGGGGCAGAAGCAACTATGCTCAGCTACAAGACTGAGAGGAAGACCTGGATCATTTCCCCCAGCCCTGGAATGCAGCCACCTCTGGAGGAGAGCAGGGCAGCTGTTTAACAGCACACAGCTGCGATGTCGTTTAGGACCAAAGTAAAGTGCTGTATCCAGCTGCACTACAGTGGTGGGAATCTAGCAAGATAGAAAATAGTTGCCCACATTTGGCATGTGGCCAGGACGCAATGTGAGCATCCCCCCGCCCCTGCAAAAGTTCCCACAGGCTCTTCATCACTGAAGTAGCACAAGGTCTTCATTTGAATTCTCACCCCAAACAGCTCCTGCATCAGCCCAGCAGCTCGTTGGGGAAGGGCCTTCGTGCAGCGCACTCCCCACCTGGGTTCTCTGTGGGTAGCCCAGGAAGCAGGTCTGACTGTGCTCTCCAGGGGGACACAGCTAGAGGGGGCATAGAGGGACGATGGTAAAGGAGCACAGATGCAATGTGCGGGCCTGCGTGTGCAGTGCCTGCTAATTAGTGCACGAGCTCCAGATTTATTTTGGTTAATGAAATCTTGTTAACGAATCGGTGGCAGGGATAGTCCCTGTGGGAGCCAGGCAGCTTGCAGGTGGGAATGCATTCT